ACTACGGAGTATTAAGCAAGTAAACGTCCATAGAAACTAGTAGTAAGGTTGATTCCAAGCCATGGAGTCGCAGGCAAACAGAGACAGACACCTTGCACTACCAGATCCCTGCGAGATGATAGATCCAACAACCCTCACCAAGCGACCTTCATCGAGTGCTACTACTGTGATAACCAGAAGGAACAGATAAAGAATTCGGCATTTGTGAATAGTGAAATGAAATATTGTACGCATGTTCCACCCTCGAAGTGTTTACCTACCGTTTACTCAGCGACCTCGACCTGTCACAGTGTCTCCTACACATTCTGGCCTGATATAGAAAAGTCAGAGTCCCTAACGCCCTATCGAGAAGTAAGAGCAGATAAGAAGACCTTACACAATGTCTGAGAAGATAAGTGAGCGGTCATGAGTGGTAGAAAGACAGCGTATCAGAAACCTTGGATAGGAGAGAAGAGGAGGACAGCATAGAGCTGGCGCTGAACGGACCACGCAAATGATGTCTATCGTGGCCTCGCCCAGGTTGTATGAGGGCTTGCAAGGTTATGTCGTGGTTAGAGTGCCACAGCCTACTTTTATAGACTAGCCTATCTATATCTGAGGGTCGTGTCGTCGACGACGCTGTCCACGGGTTTCTGGGAGGACAGGAGGCGCCGCCATAGAAACGGGGCAGTCATCATGGGACGGATCATCTAGGCAACGAATGGATGAAAGCTTCAGGTACCTTTGTGGGTATGTACCTGCGTAATATACATGTCCGCCTTGGGTCCAAATGCCGTACGTGCATACCCAACGGCCTGCCAGGCAGCAGGTGACATTACTACCGTACCTGCCTACCATGGATATGAAGGAATGAAGGATGATCAGTTACTGACGAGCGCAGCCCCAAGTACGCAAGGAGAGGACTATAATCCGCTCTCGCTACCCTATCCCACGCGCGTGGTCAGGTTCTTCCCTGTCACCTAACCCCCAAGCTCCGTGCCCCGTGCTACTGCCTACACCACCTACCCGTGTCCGTCCGATAGCCCGACGAACCCCCATGCTCAGCTCCACTCGCAGCCTAGACAATCACGCAGGGTGGTTCGATTGGCCGTGCTCCCACCCTGATCCTGCGTAGCTGGCCTCATTATGTCGGGGGCCGTGTATCAGGTGGACCTGGCCACGGCATGGTCGAACGTTGATACCGTCCAGGTCCAATGAGAAGGAGCACCCCACTCGACTGCGAGACGGGCGTTGCAGGACAGGTGCACTCTGCTCCGGCGAGGGTGACCCAGTCTGCGATACAGGTATGCGAGTCATTCCCGGAAAGGGCATGGATCTTATCTCAGCGCTCGCATCATCGTCTCAACGCTGCTGTTGTTTGTGTACGATGAAGGACCTTGGGAGAACCTCCAGGGTACTCACTGAGGGGACGCTGCATATAAGAAGCTGCACCTAGATCCAGCAGTCGAAGATAGAACTTTTCTGAGGTTTTTCAGCGCTCTCATAACTCAAGGCACCCCCAATTCCAGGAACAGATTACACCGGTCCGTCTCCGCTGCTGTTACTAAAGCTGCCCACTCACGGAAACGCTATAGGAGAGCATCGGTCGGCTCCCACAGCTTGCACCGCTTGGGCCTTCTCGATTCAGGCCCTCCTACCCACTAACGGGACCATCCCAGTGCGAGTAGCATCGGGTTTGTCGACAAGGTGGGATTAAACCGCGGCTGACTCGCCAGAGCGTTTACGCAGCACCATCGAAATGCCTTGAAACTGTGACCCCCACTCGGCTTTGTCGGAACCACCAATCGCCTAGATCGCCTGCACGCTGAATTGAATCATCCGACCAGTTGCGTGGCGTGGCATTTGGCTGCGATCAAAGATGGTGGTCGGGATAACATCGTCCATCCCACGCTTTTGGCCTGAGGAATAACGTCCAGAAAGTGCATAAATAGCCCTTCCAGGACCTCTCATCCGGCCTTCTTTCCCATCAGCAACAACTCCGAAGCCTTCTCAGAAACCACTACCAAGCCAGTCAACTAAGCAACCACCACTCAATACCTCAAGATGTCTCCCTGCTCCTGCAACTGCTGCTCCGGCAACTGCAACGCCTGCTCCTGCAGCTCCTGCAGCGTAAGTCTCCATGCCGCCTAATGGCTCTTTTCAACTAACTAATGAATGGCTATGCTACAGCACTAAATACCCCTTCTGCCGCATCGTCTTCTGCCGTGCACCGTCACCTCAATATCCCGAATGCATCTCAGCGGAACAAGCCCACATATGTGTTCACCATGTCGTCGATGAAAGATCCAAGTACGCTAGTGACATATGATCGCATGTTGCAGATTGTTCGGGTTTCCAGAAGACTGAAATGATGAAGGAACGATTGCGCTTATGTGTTATTTTTGGTTGATGTACCTAGTCTGTCGCTCCTTGCTGAGTTAACGTCGACGTTATCAAAAGCCTGTGCTCAACGTAGCTTTTCGACTTTGAACAATGTAGCATGGTGTAGTGAACTGGAATTGACATTTCGCCATCGTCGCAGCTGTACCGGGCAAGTAGTCGTACCGAGGCATAAGTCATCGTATAGAAACACGAGCCGCCTTGGACGAAAGGGGAGAGGACACGCAGGTGGCTTTGTGTGGAACGGGGAGTTTTGAAGTCGCAAAGACCGACCGACGTTGAAATAGGGCTCGGTCCTCACGAGAAAAGCGGATGCGGGGGAATATTTGCGGAGCCGGTCGGCTTATGATCTAAAGGCGAAAGAATTAAGTCTATTGCCTTGTAAGAAACGGTGATTGGTGAACCGAAGCAGGAACTTACCAGTAGACGGGCCGCGCCCCATGTGATAAAAGGCCCAGAACCATTGGATCGGATTGGCTGTGCTTTAAAACCGTCGGCATGGATATTGTACTTCCAGGTCCACGATTCTGGAAACAGATGGATTCTTCTGCCGGCCAGGGATTTCCACAAATGGCCGTTTTGCGCAGACGCTAGAGACAAGCAGTCCTGAACGGTATTGGGCGGAGGGGGATGCTGATGAGCCATACTAGGAACAGCGGTCGCGAATCGTTGCCGGTAAAAACGCAATTGCCGCAGACGCGCATGCAGAAATTGTCCCTTTAGTCTCGTTCACGAGCCACTGGCCCGTTTTCAGTCATATTGGGGGTCGTGGAGTACCTATGCTTGCTCCCAACTGTTGACGGTTGGTGGATGCAACATCAGCCCAGAAAACCGAGAAAAGACCAGCGCAAACCTCAGCCTATAACCCGGACATCGCATTGCTTGTCAAGAAACCAGGAATTGACGACAAACTGGATCGGCCGTAGGCTCCGAGTCCACTAGTCACCAGAATTCCAGAGAACGACCCAGTGTATAGCGAGGTTGGGTAGACGATTGGGGAAAAATGAAGGATGCTGAGAACTAGAGGGCATGCGACATTGCGGGCCGATCATTGAAATTCTGTTTCTCTTGAATTCTTCGGCTGATCTCGGTGGCTTGATGGCTAGACGGATCGGAACGTGTGTGAAATATGGGATCTCGGATGGAGAAGAGCTGCTTCAACTCAGATAACGTTTGTCTCGGTGGCGGCGCAGAGTCTTCAGAGCTATTAGCATACGGGAGCTTGAGGAGCACAAGTCCAGGGATTAGCTTGGTGTCTTCAGGGATGTGTTATGATGGGCGGAGTGTGCTTACCTGGACCAAGTCCTGGAACTCCAGTAGCGGCCATCACTGCCAGGCTGACCGGTCCCATGCCTCACCTGAAGTCGGTTGCAGATAGCAAGTCAAAGTTTGAGGGTAAGTTGATTCCTTGGAGGACTGCTTGTGTCAACGGGAAATATTCCAGAGCGCAGAAGGCTGTCGTTGGCTCTGCCATGGCTTGTCGCTCCTTCCGTTCTGGCAAGGATTACCACGGAAGTGCCAACTCGAGAAAGTTGCAGAGTTGGAAAGGTCAGCGGGAAAGTGGTCTGAGGAGGAGACTTTTCCTAGTGTGGCACTTTAGCATGAGGACCTTGGTGTCTGAATCCCTGCTCTGGCGTCTGGACGCGTTCCCGGGCCGTCGACAACGCTTCCCTCATGGAACGCCCCCTCCTTCTGAACTTGACGCTGCCTAAAATGCCATTTCGATTGGTATGTATTATGTGAGCATTAGCCGGCAGGGAGGGGCACTTTTTGGCTCAAAATGCTTTCGCTAGCGAGACCGGGTTGGCGTTCTCAACCGACGCAGCGCCAACGCACTCGCATTCCCTCTTCCAAAACACATTCAACCAGTCTCATGTGATAAGAGCGTCGCCACCGTTCAGATTCTCCGTCATGGTACTCACGATTACCTGACTGCAGCAGGATAAAAGCCGTCTACGCGCAGTCGAGCCAACGAACACCAGGAACACACGCCGAGAGACGAGAGACATGCCGAGATTCAATACGGGCTGTTGACCACGATTACTACCATCAGAAGTCATCGGGAAAATAACGGCGAAGTTGCCGACGGCCGATATCTGGATTCGAGTTCATGATGATCATAACAAATGGCGTCGGCTGGAGCGGGTGTTGGAGTAGGATATAAGGCCCGGGGACAGGTACCTGTCAGGCAGCGATTGCCTTATCTCGAGGAGGCTCATGTCTCTTGATAGACAAACGCGGGGTTGCTTCATTCTTGTTCTCTCCGATACACCTCCCGGGATAGAGACTGATTAGCAAATAATCGCGAGTTCCTGATTCAACAGTGCTGGCTCGTGACTCGTGGCTTGAGGCTGATCAACCTGGCCAGACAGGTGTGCGGAAACGAGTTGGTGAGCGTCCCCTACCTACGAACTCTTCAGCTATATAATTCTGAGAGTATGCACAGGGAGTTAAGGATCAGCAATGTACGGACTATGAGGGTATCTAAAAAGCCAACGCTAAGCCAGCACATGCATCAAACTATACTCCATACGGCCTAGGAGTAGCAAGCGAACGTGCTGTCACAAACGGACGTCAACTCCTCTCTTTCAGCTACGACAAATCTGCCTCACGAGTTAGAGATGTTTCAATTCAATCGTGAGTTGGCTGCTTTTGGAATAAATTGGACTCCCAAACGGTTATACTATCTCGAGGCCTGGAATTTCGCCGATGTTTGTCAATTTTCTTGAATCGCACCGGTCTCCTCCCTAGATGCTTACTATTTCTCTCAGGTTCAGTCCGCTACGCTCTGGAACTTTCGGGAGGGCTTTCTTGAAGATTCCCAAGTCCCAGAATGGCTGAATCAAACCGGCGAGTTTTCCCCTCCAACTCCACCGATCGCGGCCGGGGCTGCGCGTGGAGGGATACGGCTACTAGCATGCAACTACCATCTGTTCCCAAAGGTCTCCGTGGGCATGTCTCGTGAGGCGTTCGAGTTGGTTGAGTCGAGCTTTCAGCTTCACCCAGCGACATTACCAGCCTTGGAAGTCGCCACAGGGACGTTTTCGAGACACTTCGAGAACGACATGAATGGAGGCAGGCAAATATGTCCGTTAAAATTACCCCCAAAGTGGCCGTCGCTGACAAAAAAAAGCAATCATCCTGAAGGCGCCCCAGAAATACGAGATAGGAAATCACATGCTCTCGCTCACATATAATACAACTTCACGATGGTCAACCGCTTTGCTGGCTGGCGAATCGCTTGTGGATTTCACAATCAACTTGCACAATCTGCCTTCGTTGCCTTCCGGGCCGTGGTCGCCCTGCGCCGTTGTCCGGGAATATCTGATATCTTCGCCAACTCTATGGGGCCACCCTCTCACTCTGCCGTGCATTGTCCTGAGCCATCACCTTAAACGATTGCAACATCACTGCAACAGGGACTTGACTCCAGCAGTGATGGCCGTCGAAGCGCAGCTCGGCGTGACGCGTGTAGGTCGAAGAAACTCGGAATCCGCATCTCGCACTTTGAGCGCGTTCAAAGGCAGACCGGTCGCGAGAGCTCAGTCGGAGCATCTCACAGTCACTATCAATACCCAACTTACCAGGGTCGGCTTTACGGCGCATAACCCGAAATGGAACTATCAGGCGTCCGAGTTGCTTGTTAGGGTCATGACGGAAGTAATAGCTTCTAACCCGCATTTGCCACCGGACGCGAATGACGCGATACTGGGTCTGCTTGATCATAATATCACCCTGGCCAGGTCACTTGAGGATCATGTGCTCGGTATCCAGAAGCGATTGGAGTTGCAGCTGAATGTGGTACGTACATACTATCATGCTGAATGAGGTATCTACCTGACACAATATAGTTATACAGCTTTGTCGCCCAGACAGACAATCGGCTGAGCGCACGCCTTGCTGCGACAGCAGGACGGGATAGCACTTCAATGAAGATACTGGCTTTCATCACGACAATTTTCCTACCCGGGTCATACGTCGCGGTATGTCGTCCATCCCCTTTAAATTCTGCGTACTAATGCGACCCAGACGTTGTTCTCCATGAACATGTTCAATTGGGACGATGGTTCTGATTCTGCGACTTCGGAGTCGGGTGGTACTACGGTTTCGCCCCAGTTCTGGATCTACTGGGCAGTTGCAGCCCCTCTTACTGCTATCACGCTGGCGGGCTGGGCGCTATGGTGGAGCTTCGAGAAACATCGATACGACGAGCACCTAGAAGGAACCGAACAGAATGCGAATGTCAAGACTCCTCCGTGGTGGCGGAGAATAATGGAAAGCCGACAGATTCTCCACCCGGAGCTGGCAGACCCCTTGGGAGCCATACCTGTCCCTAACCAGCCCACTGAACAATACGAAGACAGCCAGTACGACGGCCATCGGCGGCGGCGCGTACGAGGTGAGCGGCGGTTGAGTAGATCTAGGTGACGCCGTTATCTCGACCGGCCAAGCTGCCCCGCTCTGTGTCTCCAACTCGCGAGTGATGATACCCCTCAATGATCTCGCATTTGAATCTTGCTTCTGAATCGCGTATTCGAATCTCGCATTTGATGTACTCATCCGAACTTCGCATTCGAATCTTGCTTCTGAATTTGCTTTGAATCTCGCATCACCCTTTGCGACCACGCCAATTCGAAGTTCATCTTGCGCAGCCATGTCATCACCATACCAAAAAGCCATGGAGCACCTCCACTCCGCCCAGCGGCGGTACCAGGATAGAAATCCAAGATCAAAGGCGCAGCATCAGCGCGCCACAATTTACATGCCAGGTGGAAATACCCGATCAGTGCTGCACGCCATGCCATTCCCACTGTGCATGCAAAGGGGCAATGAGAATCGATTGGTCGACCTTGATGGAAATGAGTGAGTGCAGTTGTGACAGGCGTGAGCGTGGCTAATTTGTCCAGATATATTGACTGCCTTGGTGACATGACTGCCGGTCTTTTCGGGCATTCCCGCTCGGTGATCATGAAGACGGTGATCTCCACCATGGACAGCGTTGGGATGAACATTGGTTCCTCGACGGTTGCCGAAGCGCGCTTCGCTGAGGCGATATGCAACCGATTCACCTCCATCGACCAGGTCCGCTTTTGTAACTCGGGAACGGAAGCAAATATCTACGCATTAAGTGTGGCGCGTCAGATCACGGGTCGGTCAAAAGTTATCGTCTTCGAGGGTGGCTATCATGGAGGTGTACTCTCGTTTGCCCACGGTGTTGCCCCTAACAACGTTGATCGAGACGACTGGATTCTCGGACAGTACAACGACGTTGAGGGTGTTGTAAATCTGATAACTGAGAACAAAGACGTTGCAGCGGCAGTGCTAGTTGAGGGCATGCAGGGTGCTGGTGGATGCATCCCAGGATCAGCCGATTTTCTCCATGCTATACAGGATACCGCAAAAGAAAATGGTATAATTTTCATCCTTGACGAGGTCATGACATCGCGACTGGCACCGGGCGGATTGCAGTCGATCGTGCGGCATCCTGTCCACGTCACCCCTCTGTCCCCGGATATGACCACGCTTGGGAAGTGGATTGGCGGCGGACTTAGCATCGGTGCATTTGGCGGCCGACGAGATCTGATGTCGGTCTATGACCCGCGCACGTCGAACATCCACCATTCCGGTACCTTCAACAACAACAGCCTCGCCATGAACGTGGGATGCACGGGCATGACCTCGGTGTATACAGCGGAAGCATGTACTGCCTTGAACACTCTTGGAGATGACCTCCGACGGGGACTACAGGAACTGGCGAAGGGCACGAATATGGTCGTGACGGGTATTGGAGCTGTCATGAATATCCACTTCGTGCCGAAGGGTGGACAAAATGCGATTGGTAGGATAAGCGATCTGGAAGTTGAACCGCGAAGCGTCGAGGCGACTCTCCGTGACCTCCTGTGGTTCTACCTGATCGAGCGCGGGTTCTGGATCGCTCGTCGGGGAATGGTTAGTCTGCTTCTGGGGACGAGCAGCGAGGAGGTGGAGGCGTTACAGGGTGCTGTGGGAGACTTCCTAGAGGAGTTCAGAGACCTTGTCGCCATTTAGTGTGTCTGTTCTATGGTATTTCGTGACAAAGTTGGTTCTTCAAGAGATTGATTGTTGTATTTAGCCTAAAGGCCATCTCTCCACATTCTACTCCGACCTTTCGGCACATCGCGCCCTCTTTCGGCAAGTGATGGGCAATCCAACGCTCCAGCTTGAATCCCCACTACCTATGACGCCTGCTTGCCCACCGGGTATTCTGGAGATGCGGGGTTGCACCAGGCATAAAAGGTCGTTCACCATGTACCTCGCAGGTTTCCCCAGATTTCCTCAACCTAACCGCCACGATGCTATCAACCACCGTTTTCTATCTACTACCCCTGGCTGCCCTAGCCACCGCAGCCCCAACCAAGCCATCAAGCCCCGACCTCACAATCCGAACAACCAGCGGTCTAGTACATGGTATCTACAATGACACCGCGCACAATGTCCGCGCATTTTTAGGAATCCCCTACGCTGAACCACCCACCGGAGACCTACGCTTCGCACCACCACAACCGAAATCGCCTTCATCGTCTCCAATAGACGCATCGGCCTTTGGTCCCCCCTGCCCACAGGTCTACAGCTATAACAACGAATCCATCTGGAGTGTCCTCCCCTACCGGATCTGGAATGCCCAAGATATGAGCGAGGACTGTTTGAGGGTTAATGTTTGGACGCCGACTAGCCATGTCGATAGTCAAGATGCAGAGGAGCCCATGGGTAAGGGGAAAGCGGTCATGCTCTTCATCCACGGAGGAGGGTTTGGCGAGGGCGCGGGCTCAGTCGGGTTCTACGATGGGGTTGATTTGGCGGGGAGAGGTGATGTGGTTGTTGTTACGTTCAAGTATGTCCTGTGCCTTCGTCACGTTTTTCTTGAACATCGCAATGAAGGGATATGCTGATATTTCGGATACAGCTACCGGCTTAACATCTTCGGATATCCGAATGCGCCTGGGTTGGAGGCGTCAGAGCAGAATGTTGGGCTGTTGGATCAGGTACAGTCTCCGATGACCCCTCCTAAACGGACCAATTTGTTGAAGAACTAACAAAATAATACAGAGACTCGCAATCGAATGGGTGCACCGAAACATCGCCAACTTCGGTGGCGACCCAGACCGAATTCTACTCTTCGGACAGTCTGCTGGAGCGGCATCTGTTGATGGTTACACTTACGCTGTGCGAGACCCTTAATTTCATTGACTGGGCGGCATGTACTGATGAATGGGGATATGTAGTACCCAGATGACCCCCTCGTGAGCGCATTCGTGCTACAATCGGGCACCGTGTCTCTACTCAACAATGTCGACCCAGCGCACAGCAACTGGAACCGCCTGTCCACCGTGATCGGATGCGGTACAGGAACTGAATCGCTGGCTTGTATGCGGAGCGTCCCGTTTACCGAGATTCTCGGGGCTCTGGGGAACGGTAGCTACACTTTTACTCCCGTTGTCGATAACCGGACTGTGTTTGCGGATTATCGTGCCCGGGCGAGGAGTGGAGGACAGTCGCGTCTGGTAAGTTCTCCTCACCCAGTCTCGATTAAGGTTATTGGTATATTGACACGCTGTCACAGCCAACATTGGCGGGTGTAAACGCCCGCGAATTCTCGGCCGGATTTCCGCTTAGCCAGACCAGCATCAATGAGACGGCGGTGACGGAGGATCTGTATGGGAGTTTCAGCTGCCCTGCCTATGAGGCTGTAAAGTACGTATCGATCTGCCTATCCGAGCTCCGCATCTTCCGGGCGTCAGAGGGACAACCGACTCACTAACTTGCGTAATCAGGACTCGCCTGAATCACCATATTCCGACCTGGCGGTACGTCTACCACGGCAACTTCACGAACTTGAGTCCTAGGCCTTGGCTAGGCGCTTATCACAGTGGTAAGGCATATCGCTAGTTTACGTTTAACGTTTACTAACCGTTGTCTCGGTTTAGCTGAGCTCCCCATTCTATTCGGCACGTATAATCAGACGACTCTTCCGCCGCCCCCGAGCAAAAACGAGATGGATGCTAGTAAATACTTCCAAGGTACGTTCTGGCACCGCGTGATTTCTCAGTCTTCTCCGCTCCCTCGCGAATACTCATCATATCCAATAGGCGCTTGGGTTGCCTTCGCCAAAGACCCCCACACCGGTCTCACCGAATACGGATGGCCGCGGTTTAGCTTCAATGGTGAGTCAAGCCGCACTCGCTTCAGCCTTCCACTGGTAAGACATGCGGTGGCTGGCTAACGTAATTACCGATTCTCAGAGCGCACCCTCGTCAATCTGGCTGTCGGCAATAAGCCCGGGGCTGTGCTTAGTTCGGCAGGGAAGTGGGATGGACACTGCGATGGGGAGACGTACATCGGGTGAAGGACTATGATGCTGAGAGTTGACTATGGTTCAGGCATTATGTCGATGTCTTTGGTTGCGCTGGGGCCATAGTCTGGTAGGCGGAGTAGAGCAGGTTACGCGTCGCTTTATCGGCACAATGCCCCGGTCTAAATAATGCATTCATTTGATCTTGTGCTTTACTGAGATGGATCTCACTTGTCATAGTCATTCCGTGTTATAGGTTGATTATGGATTAGGTTAGTATGGCGCCCTAATCGTCCAAGGCTCCCAGGGACAAAGGGCAGACCTACCCAAACTTAGCCATCCTAAACTACCAAGCCTACGACAGCATTGGGTAAAGGTAGATCGTACGTCTGGAGGCACTTTGGACTGCGGGACTCATGGAGCTGTGTCCAAAGTCGAGGTATTGATGAGATTGAACCCGATCATGCGTACGCATCTGGAACAGAAGAGAGGAATCAGGGTAGAGATAAATGCATTCATGGTATCAGCAGCTTGCTCTCTAAGAATTAAGGAGAGACTGTAATATCAAAAAGAACAGAGCAATTAGATGCAGTATCTGGATAACAGGTGGCCAACCTTGGAAGGAACGACAGCCAGACAAGAAACGAAACGAAAAGTCATCATCCACTTGCATTGCATCTTCCCACCTCTTCCCTCCAACCCCCTCTTCCCTCCCTCTCTCTCTCTTCCTCTCTCTCTCTCTCCCTCTCACTCTCACCATGACACTCTCACATACCAAATCAACACCACTATCCAATCAAACACACTTAATAACCAACGTCGCTGGCTTCGCCACATTCTGCGGAAACCGCGCATAGCTCGCCCGCCCATCCACACTCACAACCTCCACAAACGCATTGTTGTCAATGCGGTTGCCGCTGATCGTGCACTTCGCGCCCTCCACAACACCGGCCGTGAGCATCACGCTGTCGACGCGGAAGGTCGGGTTGTACCGGTCGGGGTAGCGGGGAGGAACGGCCACGTTGACGCCGTTGGCCGGGATCACGGAGGACTGCTGGCCGCCGGTGTTTTCGTTGATCAGGGCCACGGTGCGGGTGGTCGACTGGCGGACTTCGAGGTCCAGGGGCGCTGGGGCGGCGGTGATGGTGGTTGCCAGGAGGGCGAGGAGGGCGGCGGTGGTGGTGGTGAGGAACTTCATGTTGTTTTCTGGGGTGGTCTTCTTGGAAGAGGTTGTTTGATTAAAATGTTTGGATTGAGGACTGATGATAATGATGATGCTGATGCTGGTGATAGACCGACTTCGACTTGGACTGGATCTAGAGCCTCTTTATACCTGGCCTACCTTTTCCCTCCTTGGATCCGGCATGCCATCTTCTCCTCTTTGGCTCGTCCAAGTCATGCTTCGCCACGGTATACCTTACACAACGCCGTAATCCATCACCACCGATTGGTAGAAGGGCGGTGTCGTCACGATCTAAATCGGGATATCCTCAACGGCCACGGCCCCTCGGATCCTTCGCAGCCGCAGGATGAGAAACATGGCATATCGTCTCACGCTAGACGTATAAGGCTTCCTTGGCTATCGGTACATCTGGGGAAACAGGTTGCGAGGGAACCTATCAAATGCCCGAACGAAAGTTATTCACGCCTATAGTTCCTTGATTCCTGCTGGCTTGAGGACGGGTTCAGCCTCGATCGTATCGATGCATGTACCTCCACGCACAATGCCAGTTCTGCATATTGCAGAAACGTTTTGGCCACCGCACGGACAGTCATGCAGGAAGACGAGTAGTGACAGCTGGGCTGCAGCTACCACCTCCCCATTTGAATGACATACAGGAGGAAAAGGCGGGGTGTTCATCACGTAACGAGAATCGAGCCCTTGCCGGACGTAAAGTCGGTGAGTAAGACCAACTCGTATGTCTCGGGATGCCTGACTGAACGAGGTCGTGGCGTGAGCCTGCGCTGGACTGACTCTGACCGCAACCAGGCGAGGTGCGTTGCCAGCTGGAAGTCTAGGACATCACGAGATGGAAAACATCGCGAACTCGGCCTCACGCGATTATTGTCTAGAACCGTCGATGATGGAACAGATCATACGGTACCGCGCACAGCCCAGGCCTCTAAAGTCAGTTATTAAGTACCTGTTCTTAATATAACTACCCCGCCCCCACCAGATCCAGCCTCCCTATACGAGAAGGATGAACACGAGGTACCTACCCCGGGTTCCGAACAACTGGTACCAATACTACCGAACCTTAATGTCCTAGAGAACCAACAGGATTGATCGTCATACGGTCCACTGCTTAGCACAGCCGAGTCTTCCCAGTCCCGCGTCCTATGTCCCCCGGTTCAACTGGCTTGGCTAAGTTAGCTGACGCGAGACTCGCGCCCCGGGCCCCAGATCCTAAGACATCAGCCCAGCTCCAGAAATAGCTATCGTCTCAGGCGTCCCGTGATTGCTCATCGGGAAACCCAAGCGACTGGAGTGCAAAGCCTGAGGCTGGAGCAGCAGGCCTGGATACGGGCCTTGCCCTTGTCTTAGAGCAGGCTGAGCACGAACGGAGTACGGAGTATTATTCCATGGTCATTTGACCTCCAACTCAGGAAGAGAGGCCTAGTTTGGGCTGTAGGTTCCACCCGGACTCCGGTGTGAGACAAGATTGACTTTCAGATGTGCTCGATCGCTCGATGCGTGTCCAACTGGCTGGAGGCTGCCGACTAGAACCATCGGGGTTCTGGTTCTGTGAGCGTCTGATGCTCGAGTTTGTCGTGCAACGAGGTCAAGGCCGAGATCACCGCGTTGTTGTCATCTCTTGTCCGCACGTAGTTCGTGGTGCCATACGGTAGGCAAGGCAGTCCCCCGTCGTCCATCTACACGCATAACTGGTTCAGCCCTATTACTCCGGACCGTACTGCGGTGCGACCACAACAGCCAGTGCCGACTGGATACGTGCCATGATCCCGAGTGTTCCGAGGATGGTTACGTACCTTCTCCAGACGGATTCGAAATCGAGCGAGAGGCGTGGTTCGGCCGGGCATTACGTACGACGACGGTGGCGATCGCAGGCTCGCAGCAACGAAGTAGAGTAGAGCTACCCCGTACCCTGCGGCCTCATCCATGCACCTTATTATGAGATGCGGCGGCGAGGCCAGCTGGCATGCATAACATGCGTTATTTGTGATAGGCTCCTTCTGTCCAGTAAGCGGATGCGCGCGCCCCAGTGCTATAGTGAGATTGGGGACTGATGAGCTGATATCGTAGGTACGCAACGAACTGCAAGATCAGGCCATCACACCAAGCTCCATCTGTTGCTGCCGGTGTGTTGTTGGAGTGTGAGGAACTCTGACTAACAGAGGCTCATGTGGGAGTTCGGCCACGGAGGCCGTATGAGGGGTGGCCTTGATAACCATAGTAGTCCTCTGGTTGTGAGAGTGTCTAAGCGGATTATTGTTAGTGGCACATTACCTACAAAACGACGGAGTTAGATTGGGGATCTGCTAGACATCGGACGCCTTATGGGGGATACGAGGACTGACAGAATAAGCATTGTCTTCTATAGGCATCGAGCACCCGGTCTATCTTTTGAACTCTTCTATAAAAATACCCATCTACAACCCCTTAACAATCTCATCCACAATCCCAGCCGTATAGTTCCACAACACCGTCGAATAATCCGTGCACCACGCATACCCCGTATAAAACGTGCTCCTTTGCCCCTGAAGCCCATAAAGACGCCTATAAAACCCACCCGCAACATCCTCCGTCGAAACCATCAGCGTCTCCGGCGCATGCGACGCAAACGCCGCGATCGTCGGCTCCTCCCCGTCCTCCATCTTAAACGTGCCCGCCTCACTCATCCGCTTAACGTCATCGATTACCAACGCCCTCGCCTCGGCCTCCGTGAGATTCGCCTCGCCGACGATCTTGTTCATGAAGTACCCCGGGACCCCGGAGTACTCGAGCGCCCAGTTGAAGGGCGTGGTGGGCAGAGCGCCCGGCTGGTTTGAGGGGTCTGTGTTGAGGATGTTGAAGTTATCGGGGACGGGGGTGTTGGTTAGCACAGCGGCGTAGTAATTCATGTAGGTCCATTTGGCGAAGAGGGAGGATTCGTCGGCGGAGAGGTCGAAGCCATATAGTTTGTCGAGGACGGGCGGGAAGGCGACGAGGAGTCTTTTGGCGCGGATGAGAGTTTGGCTTCCAGTCTTGCTGTTCTCGATCAGGACTTCCACGCTGTCCTCCGAGCGGGTGGTGTCTATCGCCGCGCTATCGTAGAAGATGTTCTGCGGGTCGATGTAGTTTGCCGCCTTGTCGAAGAGCACAGTCACCCCGTTCTTCGGCCGGATGTACCCGCCGTCCAGGAGGGCGTCGATATGCGGGATGCCGAAGTCCTGGATAACATAGAGGGTCGGCCTGTCGAGGATATTGCCCACGTTCTCAGTGAAGGTGAAGACAAGATCAACAGCGCCCCAGAGCGCATACTCATCAACGAACTCGCGGAACGGCCGGAGCAGGATCTCGGGAACTTCAGACGGCAGATCAATAACTCCCGCGGCCAGGAAATCGAACTGCTCGATTGCGCCGCGGTACAGCAGAGCCGCGGCGGCAGTCGTCAGCAGCTCGCTGCCGGGCAGGGCGCGCTCACCCGTGCGAAAGTTGACGTGCTGCGTTAGAAGCGTGGCCGGGAGGAGAGCCTCGTAGTCGACGTCCAGCTGCGCGAAGAAATCCTTTGTGACTTCGTTGTTGAAGTACCCCTCCACGCCGTAGTTGACGTATTTCCCGTCCGGTAGGAAGAGCGTCTCGGCGTGCCCGCCGAGTCTGCTCTTCTGCTCGACGAGCGCGACGGTGTGGCCTTGCTCGCGCAGCTGCACGGCTGCGTATGTGCCTGTTGCGCCGCCGCCGAGGATCACCACGTCGCGGTCGATGGCCTGAGCCTGAGTCTGAGCCTGCGAGTTGAAGGCTGCGGCTGCGGCGGTAGCAGTGCCCAGCAGAGCGCTGTGCAATGTGAAGGCTTCGAGGCGCATGGCGGCGATGAGTGCTGAAATCCGTCTGGAGACCTCGAAATCGCGGCCCTGGGGTTGATCGCGTTTAAGTGAAGTCCATCGTCGCGATGACCGGTTCGCCTGAACTATGGGTCGTGGTATCGAGTCATTGGCTCAAAGCTCATCGCTTGATTCGACAACTGCCTTGAGGTCCAGATGGGATCGGCCAAGCGTTCACCGTCGAGGGTAGGGATTGTCGAGGGGAATCGATAGTGCGTGGATCGCGCCAGGTCCACGTGGAGTCGGCCCTGTCGATCTCGATTTGCGATCCGGGAGAGCCGAAGAACATTTTTTTCGTAGTCTGTACTGATCTGAGTGTGACATTGGGCAGAACAATTGAGCGTCTGGCTTTGGCACCGTGATGTAAGGAAGGAGGATGTCGGATGGAGACGAAAGCTGGTGCTGTGCGCAGGCCAGGATCCTTTGGCTTTGGCTCGCTTGACGAAAAAGCTCTGTACTCTGTATTCATGTCACCATGTCGGTATTATTCAGAATCCGGGTTCGCGATTACCGGAGAAGATCCAGCGATTCTCTGAGGTTGGAGCAAATTTCCCCCTCTTCTACAGATTATGGCTTTGATGAATTGTCTCCAGGTTACTATGTTCTGTACTACGACCAGCTGAGTCTCATGAAAGCAGAGAAGTAGGCATCCAGCTATTCCCGAGTCATGCTGAGGAAATTCCTGCTGCTGGACGTATCTCTTCTCCTACCGTAGTACTCTACTGCCCAAAGTTCGGATTTCACCTACGGAGAACTTATCGTGGTATCTTCAATTCTACTCGGACCGGGGACGGTTCTCGCAATCCCTACTGTCCTTCTACGATGGACAAGAAGCGATGGTAAACTTAACGTTCATAACTGATCCAATACATTCCAGCCAACCTCATCTCATACATGACGGATAGCCAACATGATAGATACCACATAGGTAGAACAGTGACATCCAAGGCCACACAAAGGGTAATCTAGCTAGAGTGGAACACGTTCCAGGTCGGTATGTCTGGACCAGAAAAAAAGAAATGACAAACGCGAATTGTGGACAGAAAGAAAGGAGATAGAGGGAAAGAAACTGAAACATGCAAGATCATGCTCAGCTGGAGGCCACTTCAACAGGGACAAGGACAAGGACAGGGACAGGGACAGGGACACCAGCGTCGCCGTCGCTAACATCCTCGTATGCATCCGAGTCGTCCGCGTCTGAGTCCGAGTCGCGATGCTCGCACTTGTAACTGCCGAGACATCTATCATCATTCAGGTCATCGTCATCGTGATCGTCGGAATCCGGATGGTTGTTGATATCAGAAGCGTCATAATCAGAATCTTCTTCTGAGTCTTCATCATCATCGTCTTCATCTTCTCCATCATCTTCCCACTGGGCAAGACGGCGGGCATATTCAATCTCAATCTCCTTGTCTCTAATCTCCTTCTCATCATCCTCATCCTCATCCTCATCACCCTCATCATCCGTCTCCCAGCCCTCGCAAACCGCACAAGTCACCTCGTCACATCCAGTGCACGTCGTAAACCAATCCCAGGCGCGGATGATGTAGAGACCAAGCAGCGAGGAAATGCACGCGGTGCGCGCGACGTGTAGGAAATAATCATCTGAGAATCCCATGAACCATTCAAAGGCGAAATTGAAGAAGACGATGGCCGGAACCCAAGTAGACGCGGTCTGCGCCAACCAGTTGATTTCCTCTTCTGAGAGTTTGAAGAGTCGCGGCCAGGGCTTGATGGATGGAGCGCCATTTTGGGAAATGGCAGGGAGTGCACGGGCAGCCGGTGGGAAATGGGCGTCATTGTCATTCTCGTTCTGCACGGGGGCGGGGGCAGGGATAGCGTGGCGAATGTGTAGAGCGCTAGCCGTGGTCTTGTTCTCATACCCATGCGTTTTATTGTGATTAATCCCATGCCCATGCCCACTGATACCGATCCGCGGCTCCCGACAAGCCAGCACCCCATTCACCGAAACCATCTTCTTCGGAAAGAGACACAAGTCCCGATTCACGGGCCGTCCAGATGAATCCGTGACTTCAGCCGCCAACGTCTCCGGCGCATTCCCGCGCTCAACCCACTCGACCAGAGCGCCAAGGGCATTCGCAGGAGGGGAACCGGATCCACCACCGCAGTGGCCGACGCCTGGAGCCGTGAAGAGGCGGTAGAAGGAGTTGATGTCGGCGGTGTTGGTTTTATTATGGGACTGGGACACATGGGTCTGCGCTTTGAGGCGGCGGTGGAAGTCGAGGACGTGCATGGGGTGGATGAATTGATCTGACAGTCCGACCCAGCTAAGCAGCTTTCCGCCGGCGGCCTGGAAGGGGGCGAGATCTAGGTATGCGTCGCTGAGGTAGGGGGACGAGAAGTTCAGGGAGGCGTTGAAGGCTGCGAGGTATTGGATGTAGGAGAGGGTTGGGACGTCGGGGCTTGTTGTTGTGGTTGTGTTGGTAACTGGGGCTGTGCTTGTGTTGGTGAACGGCCGGTGGGCTTTATGTCCGTTGTTGAGGTGAAGTTGAGGCGCGATGATATTCTTGAGCCAGCCGGCGGCTGGAGCAAAGGGTTTAGGAAGCCACGTGCGAGTTCTATTGTCAAAGACCGTATCCGCGGTGCCGGAGAAGGATGCGCCGGGTGCGAGGCCAAACCAGTACTGTTTTCCAGCGTAGGATGGACCACGAAGGATCTTCCGGACAATATTTGCCTGGCGCGGAGAGATTGTGATGGTGTTATTGCCGGTTTCGGGACAAGCGACTTTCTTCCCCGCGAGGGAGGACGGACTGAACGAGGATGAGCACGACATGAGAGCGTCATAGTCAGAGATGAGGCCATCAACTAGTCCATCGCGGGGATCGCAGTGTTTGACAATTGCCTTTTCGAATGCGCGGAAGACACAGGACGGGACATACTCGCCTTCATTCTGCATCACGACCATAGGCCAGAACGTCGACATTCCGACGTGGTCGAATCCGAGTGCCGGGGATGCAGCGAGGATGCCATCAAAGTCGGTGGGGTACTTTGCAGCCGCGGCGTAGCCCTGGCGTCCGCCCTGCGAACAGCCAGACCAGTAAGAGTAGTTTGCGTCGGCGCGGTAGTACTGCTTGATGATATCCTTCGAGGCGACAGCCATATCGTGAGTGGAGCGATAACCCAGGTTTTCGAAGAGCGCTTCATTGAGGGTGCCGTCTTCCTTGAGACCCCAGAGTCCGGTGTCGGGCGCGATGGTGTTATTCAGCGTCAGTCCGGCGTCGGTAAACGAGGTCGCGAACCCAGCAGCGAGCGGGCTGACCATGTTGAACTCGTAGCCGGCACCCAGGCCGCCGCCGCCGGTGGCAATGTAGCGGTTGTTCCATTTTTCCTTGGGAGGGAGCCAGACGGAGACGAAGACGGTGTCGTTGTCGCCGGGGTGGGTCAGGGCCATCGAGACATTGCAGAAGTCCAAAGGGGGCGAGCCTGCTGCAGTGCCAGCGATGAGGCCTCCGGTTAGATCAACGACGGGGGGATAAACGAAATCGTAGACGGGGGTTGACTTGAGCCAGAGGACTTCGGCGTCAGGGATTGAAGGGGCTTGCAGGCCGTAGCATGGGATGCTATTAGCAATGTTTGCGTGAGCGAGAGCGAGAGCCATGGTGGCAGAGCTCTGAGGGGGTGAGAGAATTGAGAGGGATGAGGTTGTGGAGGAGAAAATGTTGGCGAAGATGAGGTGTTTTATAAGCGAGCCTCAGGAGGCCTGGAGCTCTCTGCGGTGTTATTCACCCTTGGGGTCTGGCCAATTCACTTTCAACAGCCTTAGCACTATGAGGCTTTAGGAGTTCTGACCAGATTTCCAGACTCAGTGGCCACTCAGTGAATAGGTGGAAAGTAGTAAACAAAATGCCTGTTAGTGAAAGCAGGTAGTAACACAAACAGTTCTCCATAACATAGTTTTATTCCGCCAGCCACCTGATGAGTTCCATTGCGCCCTATGAAATAAGGAAACATATAATGCAATCTATCAACCGAGTAAGGAGGAATAGGACATATGCTGGTACATGGCTTTCATCCTCACTTGGACTCTAGTGAGCCTCTCATATCACCCACCATCATATCAACAATATTGAGGGTGTAGTTCCATAACTGTGGTGAGTAGTCCGTACAGAAGGCATATCCAGTGTAATAAGTGCTACGCCGACCTTGCAACGCATACAGCTTCTGGTAGAAACCGCTTCGGGCCTCATCAGGTGGAACTGTAAGAGCGGTCGGCCAATGTGACTCCAATGCGACGATCTCCAAATCCTCGTTGATAGGAAAGGTCTGCTCAGCGCCCATGCGTCTGAGGTCGTCCAGGACAAGCTGTTTGGCATCCCTACCAGTAAAGCTTTCGGTGCCTATTACTCTTGTCCTGTAGTAGCCTGAGACTTCGCCGAAATCCACAATCGACGCGAACGGGACCGCTGGCAACCCGCCAGGCAGCTTGGGGTCGGTGTTGACGATATTGAACCCATCAGGAATGCCACAGTTGTTGATAATGACACCATAGTACGCCGTATATTTCCACTTGCGGAACAGAGATAGTTCCTTCTCGTTTAAATCAAAACCTCGCAGCTTCGGCAAGATCGGAGGAAACGATATCAGCAGCTTCCGCGCGCGAATGCGTTTGCGGCCATCTGAATTCTCGACAACTACTTCCACACCGGTCGAATCCCGAGTCGTCCGGATTGCAGTACTCTCATAGAATATGTTGTCTTCGCCAATGTACCTGGCAGCCTCCTTAAAGATCGCAGCCGAGCCATTCCTAGGCCTGATGTACGGTCCCTGAAGCAGCCCATGCATGTGCGATATTCCAAACATCTGGATAACGAAGAGCAACGGCGCCTCGAGAATGTCGCCGAGCGGTTCAGAAAACGTCCATATAACAGTCAGCGCATCCTGCAGATCATTCGCTTCAACAAACTCGCGGAACGGCCGAAGAAGCGCCTCCGGCACTGGGTCAGGGAGGAAGTAACCGCCAGTGCTCAGATAGTTGAACTGCTCAATAGCAGCGCGGTATCGGAGAATAGCTGGAATGGGATCCACGGGGTCGCCGCTGACAGGAACCCTGGCGCCCGTCCTGAAGTCGACTCGGTCGGTGTTATTTGCAGACGGCCAGTAGCTTTCGTACTCGACGTGGAGCTTGTTGAAGAAATCTCTCACAACAGACTCGTTAAAGTACGCGCGGATGCCGTAGTCGATCAGGTCGCCGTTGGGCAGGTATAGTGTATCTGCGTGGCCTCCGAGCCGATGCTTTTGTTCCACGACGGCGACTGAGTAGCCGCGGTCAATCAGTTGCACTGCTGCGTAGGAACCGGTGCCGCCGCCTCCCAGGATAGCGACATCGCGGGTGATGATTTCCTCCGGTTGGGATGAAGCTGGGGTCGAGGTGAGCCCAAGGAGTGCGAGGACCTGGGAAACGAGCATCTTGAAGTTAAAAAGATTGACCTGAGCAGGGAAGCGGTCTTCTCCGTCGACCATCAGGATAGAGGACGACCGGGCTGAGTTGAACACTCGAACCCATGACCAGCCAAGGCTACCTGGGAAGGCACTCAGCACCTGGCAAAAGAGGAAGGAGCGACGGGACCAACATTGCTTGGTAGTACGGCAATAAAAGCCTGCTAGAATAACGAAACGACGACAAATGGATATCAAACCTAAATACAAGAATCACGTATACCGACTAATAACGCCAATAAGCACGCCGATAATCGCCCCAATAATAAACCCGCCCAACGCATACCCGAGATAGTACTTGAAGACCCTCGACTTCGACCCGTGCCGCCATTCCCGCTTTGTATCGCCCCACGTCCGTAAGGGGCCCTTTTGAATGGGGAGGTGTCGTTGTTGCGCTTCGTAGTCGTAGTCGTAGTGGAGATCGTAGGCTGGCGGGGGAGGGGGGTATGACTTTGGTGGAGGATGGGGGAGTTTTGTGTCTTGGCTCATTTTGGTGTTTCTGTCTTTCTGATGATAGTGGAAGTTTCGTTAGTGATCCTGAAGATGGTCGAGGGGAGGAAACGGGCCGATGCACTTACTGGGTTTGCTGATGAGCGGCGTGTGAAGGGGACTGGTGGAGTTCCAGAACTTGAGATCAAGCAAGAGGTCGAGATAAGGTGCGAAAGAAGCGGAGATGCAGGAGTAATAAATGGATGCCCGAGACAGCTTGGCGGAGAATGAGGCTGTGTGTCAGTGACGTCGCTCAGCAAACGGGACGTCTTGCATCCCATTGGGCTGCAAGTGAGATGTCTTGGATTCCACTGGGCTTTGAAATAGTCGTCTTGGCTAGCCTCTTAGGGAGACATGTGTCAAGCACAGCCCCGTCGCTTTGTAGATCAGTGGTAGGAGACGATATCATTCGCGGAGGCTCCGGGTTGACCTGGGGGCCAAAACATATGACGGGCCGGGGTACAGATCTACAGTTACCTATGCTCCATGCCTTGGAGAACGATCCTAAAGAAACGCTTCCTCTTGTTGATATTATTGTCTATGGCTGTGCATATATCCAGACTTCCATCAAGCCAACCCACCATAATACAACGCAAAGCCAACACCCCAACTACAACCTCTTCTTCAAACTCACATTAACCCGTCCAGCCTTCATCCCCTTAACCTCAACAAAAACATCCCTGATAGCCCTCACACTATCAAAAATCAGCCCTAGCAGCAACAGATCACATTAGCATATTCCAATCACAGTTGAATCACACCCGATCCTACAAACTCACCCCCCGGAATCCCAATCCAAAAAGCATTAAGCAGCATAAAGTACCCCCAAAAATAATACCCCTCGGGCCGCGAATACTCGACCCCATTCACAACATACTCAAACGCACAGGTCCCATAATACAGCACATCGCCATACAACTGGCCCAGCGAGACGACAATCTGCAGCGGATGACGGGCCGGGTGTTCGGTGACAATAAACCAGACGAGTACGAACGACAGCGGGCCCCAGAACACCGCGGTGATGGACTCCATGGGCATGACGAACGAGTTCGGGGTAAGATAGCGCGAGTCGGAGAGGGAGTACTCTTTCCACAGCTGGGCGAGCGGGTGCAGGGATGAGGCGAGTGTTAGGAAGTGGAGCGCGTAGTAGCCTTCTAGGATGGAGTGAATGGAGCCGCCTGTTATGCATACGTTGTTTTGGATTAGGACAGTCTCGGTGAAACTGGAGGATTTGGGGAGACGCACACAGCGCAAACCAAAGCGTCTTCGCCAGCTCGGGCTGCGAAATCCGCGGATTTACCGTCTTCGCTAGGACCGTCGTAACAGAGAAAACAACCGTAACTGCGGTCGCGAATATCGCAAGCAGCGAAGGCGTGCTGAGTTCATTGGGGACGTAGTTGGGGATCACGACGCCCAGCGGGTAGTATGGGTGGAGGGTGGACATTTTGGCCGGGAACGTTGCTCTCGCAGCGAGATGGTCTGATGGGAATTTGTTGATTGTCAATCAATGTCATATCATTCCTGGATAGCTTTTTAAGCTTACTTTCTGATCGCTGCAGCCTGGGGCTCAAGACCCTTGTTCCTGGTGATACGATCCGGATGCTGGCCTTGCGGGCGCGGTTGCCGGGGGTGCCGCGGAGGCCGCGGAAAACGCCTACTGTGCGTATGTTGCTTATTGACTGATCGATCAGTTGTAAATATGGCCGAAGCGGTTTATAATGGTCACTAGGTGCATCCAGATTGAGTAAAGTTGTTTTGATATAGAGCATAGTGTTTGTGGCCACTAGACAAGTCCGACTGTTGTTCTTCTTGTTTTCTTAAATATATATTTCCAATCCCAGACTACAAGTACAAAAGGCTGTTTACACTCCTACGTATGCACAAGGTAGAATACTGGAGAGTGTCGTATGTCATGGAATTCATTTCATCTCGCCCTGTACTAAGCTACCCCTTGGCCTGCATAATGTCGCTGCTCACCTAGATTGTCTTTGCACTAATTTGTAAGCACATAACCATTAAGGGGACCATAAAGGCAGATGGACCTCATCAATTCCGCTGTCGGGTAGGGCATATTCGTATCGCCCCCGATCTTCATAATCGGCGCGTGGGGACAGCTACTCGCAGGCTGGGACTCAATTCGACGCGCGTCTTCGCTCCTTCGCGTCCATCCACCGTCGCCACTAAACAAAAGCCAGTTAGCGGTAACCTTCAAAGCCAAAGAAAGGTTGTAAACTGAAAGACGATGGGAGGTAGAGAAAACAAGCTTACCCTTGGATTCAGAAAGTAAACCGGCACACCGAGCAAGAACACACCTCCCACAATCGCCGCCAGAATACCCATCGCAACAGGGTAATCATACATCTCCGTCATGGGGTTAATGCCATAACTCAGCGCAAAGGCTACGATATTCTTCACGCCGACGACAGCCACGATCGCGGGCCCGGGATTCTTCTCCCACGCTTCGGCGGCGAAAGACGTTGACAGGATAAGCACAGACACAAAGGTAATCTGGAAGAGTGTCCAGCCCATGTATGGCCCGCCCCAAGTCGCACTACCATCGGCAGTAAAGCCGTAGAGGAGAAGAGCGACTACGCCCAGGATGCCGGGGAGAATCAGAAGGGGAAGGCGGTGCTCAGGGGTATGAATGCCTGCATTGCGCCTCGCCATCCAGACGATGAATTTGTCGCCGAAGAAGCCGGCGTACAGCATACCGCCAAATCCCCCGAACACGCCACCAAGGTTGATCAGACCGATTGATTTGGCGGGCCAGTGATAGTTGTATTGTAGGACTGTGTTGTAAGAGAGGGACATGCCGATGGAGGCTCCCAGAACGACAGAAGCAACAAGCGTGGCGTAGAGAATGCCGGGAGACATGAACGCTTCAAATATTTGGAGGGTCGTACGGGGAATGAGAGTCAGTGGGCTTTCAGTCGATGACGACCACGGAACGAGCATTTGCAGGTAGGTCTTCTTTGGGCGGAGCTCTTCAGAGACGTCAGGGTGGTCGTGCGTCTCGAGGTAGTCTCGGGTTTCGTCCACACTAAGCATCCTCGTGACTCCGAACTGATCTGTGAGGACCATGCGGCCGTGGACGAATTGCGAGCTACGCTTGTAGCTGGTCTCGAAGCCGAAAAAGAAGGCGAGTAGTAAGCCGACCGCAATCGTGATGGCGAATACCCAATAATACCATCTCCATCCGAGAGCGGCAACTTCGTAGGATGAAGCTAGATTAAGACAGGCCGTAATGGCGCTTTGCGCTGCCCAGTACATGCCGTACACTACTCCATGCTGGTGCACAAAGGTCACCTCGGCCAACATCAATGGGAGGACCTGGTTGGTCAGATGACAGTCCGTTGAATGGAGCAAGATGGAGGAAGCGTACCGATTCCGTTACACCCGCTGCGAGGCCCTGCAAGATGCGAAGACCGAGGTGCTGTTCCCACGTGTTGCAGGCAGCGCAGCCAATGGTAGCTGCGAGGAGGACCGCTGTCGAGGCAAGCGTAGTAAATCGACGTCCGTACAGCATAGCGAGTGGTAGAACAAGAAAGTTGCCTGGTCAATGTTAGGGTTGCAAACGAGTGCGGAAGTAAAAGAACAACTGACCGACGCCAACAAAAAGGGAGGGAAATGTAGTCAACCACACAACGTCGTTGGCACTATGCCCATCGGGTATGTAGAGCTGGAAAAGGACGTCAAGGATAGCTCCGAGGCCCCCGACAAGTGACAGAGACATCGCCGCTGCGGGGCGATCAGCAGTTGCGCCTGGATAGGGTAGCTTTTGGAACACTCACAGAACCAGCAACAGCTCACGATGATGCCGGTTTTCTCCCATTTCGTGTAGTTCAATGGGTCATTCGGATCCTTGCTGGGCACCGGCAGCCGCTGAACCTGCCCATCGCTATCAACGAGGACGTGTCCATGCTCGACGCCGGGCTTTCCCGCCTCCAGGTTTTCGGCTAGCTCAATGACAGCTTTCTCCTCCATTGCTCACGACAAGGGGCCCAGAAATCCCAGGACAGGAATCGAAATTGCCGGTGGTGGAGATCTTTATCTACCCTGCACTGTCATGCTGCGCAGAAGCGGAGACATTTGGAAATGCGGAGACCCCATGGGCGAAACCCGCTGCGACCACCGGATGTGGACAGGGACGTGGACGAGCCGAAGCGTGGGCGGGCCCACAAACATCCTGCCCACCATAGCGGCGGGCTCGCTCCAATCATTTCGCGTCGAAATGTGATTTATGGCAAGCTTCCTAAATCGCGTATCAGGTTTCGAAGGTTTTGAACAAGTGGCGGCAAGTTATCCAGTGCTCCCGGAAAGTTACTCTCGAAAACCTGCCTCCCCACATCCATCACCAGGCGGGGACTGGTGAGCTGACAGAAAACGGCTGTTCCCTCAGAGCCGGCAGAGTGGAGGGTCAAGCCAGGCTGGCCTAGGTCTCGGCTAATGAACGGCTTGATAGAGTCCGTCTCGGAGCTATCCAAGCTGACTAGCGCATCCGAGTTCCCATTGGCTAAGCTGATCGCTTTATCTTGCTGTTTTTCACCACAGCGGAGCAGCCCAAATACCCAAAGAACCAATATAGCGTGGTATATTGCTAAGCTGTCGAAGCCGCGAAGGTGGAACGGCAGTACCTGTCGAGCTGCCCGAAGGACCTGCCCAGCGTGCCAGACAGAGGTACGCGCCTCTTTTGTCAAGGCCCATTCTCGTAGCTTTGGGTATTCTCGTCTTGCTTCCACTTCTCCAAACTGGCCTGCAAAACGCTGGACCGAGTCAAAGTTGACGTGTAGATGCATCAAGGCATATTCACTAAAAAGGGCTGCGTTCGGCGGGGCACTTGCGATTTCCTGTACTGCGGTGTCGATGGACAGTGATCTGGCGTCACCTAGATTAGCAGGAATTATTATAGTAAACGGGTATCATACAGCTCATCCTGTCGGCTTTGCAGCCACAGTCGAGTTACGGCCCGAGCATCAGTACCGCTGTCCATAAGCGATGCCTGCTGGCGAAACGCCCACACTTGGCTCATTAGCCCGTGCAAAAGCGCGGAGTTCACCACCCCAACGTCAACATTTGCCGGAAGATCTGTCAGCGCAGCTGAATCGGCTAGTATGGCTTTCAGTGATAGGTCCGGGGGTGAGGCGTGGAAGTATTTCGCTTTGAGGAGCTCTTTCCAGGCCGTCGCGGTGGGCGCCAGCCACAAGTCTCGGGCACTTGGGAAAGGCAAGGTGAATTCAGCATAACTAGTCAGTGCAGGCCTGTTCATCGCTGCCGCCGCTTCCACATCATGTTCAAAAAGGTGGTAGGCCAGACTATAGTCCGATTAGCAGTGATGGTGGACTAACGATGCTCTCATACCGTTTAAGTGATTCCGTCTGTACCCATTGCTCCCAGGCAGTTTCCAACTCAAGTCCCTGGAGACCATCAACTGAGGGAAGCTGGGTATAGAATGATCGATCAAAAGCTCCAGCTCTCCGCAACGCCTTTGAAATGGTCAGGGATTGTCCAGAAAATCAGTGTCGTACGTACCGTGCACAAAGGTTGAAGGTGGCTTTCAGCAATCTGCATCTTGCGTTTATAGCCACAGAAGATCCCAATGTCCAACCACATCATGGAGGCCTGAAAATATTGAAGATCGCGCAGAACGCTGTTATCTGATTCAACCTGACATGGTTAGGCCCCATCCTGAAAGACGTGGTAGCTGCACTTACCAGATGTGCTAGGCTGACTCGAACAATCTCTAGCAGGAGCACTCCGGCCTTACCTACTGAGGGAATGGCAGAACATACACATCCAGCAGCGACCAGGGCTGTCAAAAGCTCAGGCCGCGAGTCTTGACGGTACAACGTATATGGGTGAATCCAGGCATCAGTTTCGGTTCTTTTCGAGATGCCAATCTTGATGAGGGCATCGAGCGACTCGGCAGTTGGGAACGAGGGAACAGAAAGGCGGGAGCCCCCGGTAGCCAGCACCAGTTGAAAAATATTGTCACGCATCTGCTGTGTCAGCTTTCCCCGAATGTTCAAGGCCTCGAGGCGAGATCTATGCAGTGAGGAAATGGATGCTGTCATGTCCCCGTCCTGCAGCGGAATCTGGCCATGTTCACTGAACCCGTTCTGATTTTTCTCGGGTACCCAGAGCCTAGGAATAGTTAATCCGCCGCATTTTGCACGAAATCATAGACGTACCACAGTGACTTCCGAAAAGCGGCGACGCGCTGTTTGGTGCTTTGCTCCTCGGCAGAGCCCTCTTGATACGAGGTTGCCGCGGCAGGTGATGGATTGTATTCCAATATTTTGTCCAGATCCACGAGTATGTCTGATCCAAATAGACCAAGGTCGGGACTGGTCAACCCGGGATCACCCATAAAATCAAAGACTCCTCTCGGCTGCTGAACATTGGGTATACCAGCTGGGTAAAGATCAGACGGCATCATGACGTGCTCGAAAAATGCCGGAAACTCGCTTAGATTATCGATCATGTTCTGTTGAGAAGACATGTGCACAGGGAAAGGTACGACAGACGAAGCAGGAGAGGTTGGTGAGTACATGGAATTGACTCCAACCTCCACGCCTAACGGTATCCGAGGGTTTTGGCTGCGGTCAGCGGATAGGGTCGACGGTGATGTACCCCCGTCTCCATCAATCTCGCTTCCGAATTGACCTCGCGGAGTACCAGTCTCCGGGGTGATTGTATTGAGGGTCCCACGACGACGCTGGTTCGACTTTCGCGGAGTACAGCGTATACCCTTCCGTTGGCATCTCTGGCTATTCCTTAGCAACATAAACGCAGGCTAGAGAGAATCGTAACAAACATTGCATGGGTTGTCATTGTCACAGCTCGCTTTGGCGGCGGCACACTGCTCGCAAGCTTCAACAGCCCTCCCTCTGGATTTGCTAGTTGGCGTGTCGCCAGTGTGAATCAGCTGATGTCGTTGCAGTACATCCCTGAGCCTGGGTCAGTCTGGTTCGGGTTGGGCGGAGATGGCATCGTGCCTACGGTTGAAGCCGCGCTGGCAGGTAGTACACTGAAAAGTCCTCTCGTTGCGGTCTTGTCGCAAATCAGCTATTATGACTGCAAGCAAGTATAACGGTACGCACGTGAGTCCAGATGGCGGGCTAGGTGGTCGGGCCTTTCATAGGCCCGGTCGCACTCGGGGCACTGGTGAAGACTAGCGGCGTCTCTGACGCGGGGAGACTTGTTTGGAAAAGACATGGAGACATGCTTGTATCTTATATGACATTCTAGAATGAAAAGATCATACAATGAGAGGGCGATGAAATATGAAGAGGAGCAAGTTGTGCCAGTCGAGTCGGGAGTGATGTGGACCCTCGGTTGCCGAGCAGGCCTTCTTGGCACTTGCCCTCCACTCCAACACACCTCTGCCTCCAGCTTCCCCCGCAAACTTCGTTACTGGCTTCCACTGACTACTCCGTTGCCTCTTTGCATGCTCTTGGCTTTTGTGACCCTCGACCACACTGACTCTCATTCTGCAGACAATAAAGCGATGACGAGCAGCTGGCCCGGACGCGCAACGCGTTCTTGGGACCAGCGTCCACACGACGATGGCAATTTCAACATTCGGTCTACGCCTTGGCGGCTTTCTGGCGCCGCAGCCACTCCTTTGCACCTGGATACTTGCAGTTGAATGCCATGAACTCATCCGGTTTCCTACGCGTCATTAGTCCGTGCTGACGAACCGACGGGGAATGTGCGTACATTGTGACCGTCTTTCCACCTTTCGCCGCCGTGCCAGGCTTTGCCGCCTGACGACTATAACCTTGGATCAGGCCTGCACGGTCATGTCGGCTCTGGAATATATTCTGCCGACCGTTAGAAAAGATCGTCGGCATTGAGGCGAATAGTACCTCGAAGATTGAACTAATATCTTCCAGTAAAGGACTGTCTGTCTGCTCTTCGAAGAACGCTCGCAGTGCCTCGGCGTCCTCGATCGCTTGACTGGCTCCTTGACCTTGGGTCGGCAGCATTGCATGCGCAGCGTCGCCGATAAGGAGAACCCGGCCACGGTACCAGGTACGGAGGGGGTCCTTGGACCAGATTTAGAGATGTTGCGGAAAGAAGCAGGTAGATTCTTACGATGTCGCGCAACTGCCACAACCCAAGATCCCGCGAATGCCTAGGCGGGTTAGTCGATACTCAGATCGGTTATCGTGAACTTACTTGAAAATGTCGGTTACCCAGTCGGGGAACTCCGAAAACGTGTCAAGCATTTTTGCAAGACTACCTTCCGAGACCCAAGACTGTTTCCCATTTGGATCCTCGTTCATGCGCTCTACCAGGTGTTAGTATCTGGGTTGTATATCACAAGGTAACGCACCGTCAGGAACCAATGCAACAATCCCAAAGACTTCTCCTTGTCGACCAGGCCCCATGATCAAACGGCAGTCATGCGCTACCATCATCGAAGTAAATGGGCTTCTGGGGTTGATCTTCCTGCAGAAATCTGGTTCTTCTCTTTCGAGAGTATCTGATGGAATCTGTCTTGTAAGCATGGCGCTGCTGAAAATGGACACCCTTACCATGAGCCGGTACGCTGCAGTCGTTAGCTAGTGCAAACAGTCTGGTAGGTTTATCATACCAGAGTGGCCTGTGGGCAATGGAGTGACATCGCTGTCCACGACATATTTCCGAAGCACGCTGTGTCTACGCAGTGTCAGCCTGATCGTGATGGAGGAGATTACTCACATTCCGTCTGCTCCTATAATGACATCTCCTTCAATCCTCTCCCCACTCTCAAGGTCTACGATTCCGCTGAAAGGATCGCAATTCACCACTCGAGAAGAGACTCTAATTTCAACTGCCTCCCCGTCCCGGTCAGTCGCCAGCGCGGCTTTCTTCAGCGCATCATGCAGGTCTCTTCGATGCCAGACAATTCGACTGGCTCCATATTCAGCTGTCGTCAGCGGTACCTCGTTTACTAGTTTTCCATCGGTGGAGTAGACGCGAAACCCTTCGTCTACCATGCCCCGCGCACCGTCCAGCTCCTTCCGTAGACCGAAGGTCTCGTACACGATCTTGGTCGCATTAGGCTGCAGAGAGATCAACGCGCCGATTTCACTGTTGAGCCGTGATTGTTCGAGCACGGTGATTCTCCGGTTCGGCGCGCGGAGCGCTATAGCAGCCGCGAGGCCGGCGATGCCTCCTCCGACAACAACGATCCGAAACGGGCTGCTGGCTTTCATGATGTGGTGAGATTCTTAGCACACTCCTCGTTTTCGTGGCGACTCAACTTTTGATTAAACAATGCCCACACCCTCCACCTCCACCTCCCCCCGTATCCCCCACATTCCTTCCGAGTGGGCGCGACGGAAGAGTGGGCGGTGGGGTGAACTACCTTGACTTCGCTATCACAAGTCATCGCAGCAATGGTATAAACTGCGTAGAGGTTCAGTCATTTGAAATCATTTCATCAATATCTATCATCAAACCACTCAGCATGTCTACTACCACTGTTGTTGAGCCCATCACCGTGTCGCAGGACAACGTCCGCATGCGCCTAGACGGCAAAGACCCCAAGTTCGGAGACTTCCGAGATGACTTGGCCCGAGACGGTTTCGCTGTTGTGAAAGGGGCTGTACCGCAAGAGCGAGCGCTCAAATATGCCAGTGACATGCACTCGTGGTTGGAGGGATTGTATGAGACCTTTCTTGAGCTTTGTAACGCAACTAACAATTAGTAGTAACCTTGGCTACGACCGCAACGACCCATCCACGGTCCACAAGGACCGCCTGCCACTCATCAATGAGAAAGGCATGTGCATGCACTACGGGGTACCCCATGAAAAGTTCGTCTGGGATGTCCGCAGCGAGCCCGGTGTCGTCGAGGCCTTCGAGAAGGTCTACAACGACAAAGACCTCATCGTCTCATTCGACGCCATAAACTTCGGCTTTCCCAAGTATACCTCCCCTATCTCCATCAAACCAAAACCAAGCTAACGACTGCGTCTAGCCGCACCGACCTTCCACCCAACAAACCCTGGCCACACCAAGACCAAGACCCCGAAAAGCCCGACTTCCGCTGCCTCCAAGGCCTCGTCAACCTCCTCCCCAACGGCCCCAACGACGGCGGCCTCATCGTCTGCCGCGGCGCCCACCTCCTCTCCGACGAATTCCACCGCGACCCAGAGATCCAAGCGGAAGCGCGCATCCCCGCCTGGACGCCCGAGTGGTACGGCTACACCGAGAAAGGCATGAAATGGCTTGCCAACCGGGGCTGCGAGTGGGTGAAGGTGTGCGCCGAGCCAGGCGATCTTCTCCTTTGGGACTCGAGGACGCCACACTATAATCTGAGCCCGACCGGCAACACGCCGCGCTTCTGCATCTACACTTGCTATATGCCTGTTGCGGATGCGAGCCAGGAGGACTTGGTTCGGAAGAAAGAGGCGTATGAGAACTGGCTTGGGACGACGCATTGGCCGAATGCAAAGCACACTGGCTCGAACGTTGCGAAGCGCGATGGGGTGGAGTGTCCGTATAACCGGTCCAAGCCGGTGAATGAGCCGGTGCTGGGTGAGAGGGCGTTTAGGTTGACGGGGATTCCGTACATCAAGACTTAGGCTTAAGGTGGCTTGTTCGATCGGATATATACCTAATCCAGCTTTTAGGTCTTGTACAGTGTTCATTTTCTGTATTCTTCTTGTCGAGTTACCTCTCCCGGGACGGTGTACTAGCGTGGCCATTTACAGCCATGCCACACATATCAAGATTTAAAAATAACCGCTTAACGTATTGTAGAGCCAAGGTTCATAAAGCCACTTTAAGCAAGGACCTATCAACGCCGTGGTCGATGGTCGCCAAGAGCCTGGTCTATGGTAGACTTACAGTGAGGGAATCCCGTTGGGTAGCCGGGTTGGACCCCTGGTTGAATCGAACCTATCGACGAACCAGTTCATCTCTTCGACGAGTGACGGTGATGTAGAAGAGGTTGCCATTTATTAACTTACCATGAGCGCCACAGGGGTTGGATAATACAGTGGGTGATGTGGCCCAATCATGTGTGTCTGGTTAGGGAATTTAAAAATATATATACGCAGCTCGCCACCGCAACACTCCACGAAGTAAAACGCAACCACAAACTGTCCTCATAGGTAGCAGCTGATTTACCGAGTAAGGTTACATCTGTTCTTTTCGAATATTATAGGCTGATCTGGATCACCTGCATCATCTGCACCTGCAGGCCAATGCAGTTGCGTGTGCACGCTGCCGGCTATGCTTTCCCCGCGCTCTCCTCACTGACCCTCCCAGTCCCTCAACCGAGGGTCGGCTGGCCAAAACGCGGGGAAGCGAGCTAGTCCCGCTTCGAATCTTCATGGATTCTTTACACTTACTATCCTCTAGATCCAGATCTCTACGATAATAGAATAGACGCTACTGAAGAAGCAAACAAGATGGGCAGCATCAACCACCCGGTCGGAAACGCAACGTATACGCAGTCGACGGTCGCGATCATCGGGGCAGGCATCTCTGGTTCGTCCCTACCTCCTTACCTTGTCTACAAACTTCTAGCCCCCAGGACAGGACAGGTTGTTGATGAAGCTAGGAATGTGCATGGCCATCGACCTCCTCCGCCGCAACCACCGCAACTTCGTGATTCTCGAGAAGGGCAGTTCCGTCGGGGGAACCTGGACTGATAATAAATACCCCGGGTGTGCTTGTGACGGTACGCCAGCCCCTTCCCTTCCCCATCCACTTCCTGTTCCTTACATGGGGATTGATGTTGACGGCCGCAGTCTGGAGCGCCCTATACAGCTACTCCTTCGAGCAGCGCGCAACCTGGACACGCGAGTACCCAGGGCAAGAAGAGATCCTGACGTATCTAACCGGCATCGCGGGGAAATACGGGCTATACCCGCACATCCGGTTCAACTCGACGGTTGAGGAGGCGCGGTGGGATGAGGACACACGGCAGTGGAGGGTTAAGGTGTCTGTGTCTGGCGCGAAGGACGCGCAGTTTCAAAGTGGGTATGAGCTTAGTGCGAATGTGCTTATCTCGGGCGTGGGCCAGCTGAATATGCCTGCTTGGCCGGAGATCGAGGGGATGGAGGGGTTCAAAGGGAAGAGCATGCATTCGGCGCGGTGGGATTGGACATATGATTTTGCGGGGAAGAGGGTTGCTGTCATTGGGAATGGTATGTCGCTTTTCCTTCTTCGCTGAGGCGATGCGGATGTTAATGGGGTGAGCAGGCGCGACGGCCACGCAAATCGTACCGGAAGTCGCCAAAACCGCGTCGCATCTCACTGTATACCAGCGGACGCCCCAATGGATTACCCCTCGCGACGATAAAGCCGTTCATCCGGCGCAAAAGGCTCTCCTGTCGATTCCGTTCTTCCGCAACTGCAAGCGCTCGTTGATGATGCTGTACCGCGAGATGAGCCATGACTTTGTTGTCAAGACGGATACCAAATCATCGCAGGAGATCCGCGATCTCGGGGTCGGCCACATCAAGAAGGGTCTGCCGAATAAGCCGGATCTGTGGGAAACACTGACGCCCACATACCCGCCCGGCTGTCGACGCATTCTGTCGTCAGACGACTATTATCCAGCTCTGGGCAGGGATAATGTCAAGCTCGACACGCGGAGTATCCAGCGCATCACCGAGACGGGTATTCAAACAGCCGACGGCGAAACCACAGACTTCGACCTCATCGTCTATGCGACCGGCTTCCGAACAGTCGAGTTCCTGCACCCGATCAAAATCTACGGTGCAGGCGGGCGCGATCTGTCGGAGCTCTGGAGCGGCGGCGCAACAGCCTACTACGGCGTGACTGTCGAGGAAATGCCGAACTTCGGGCTCTTATATGGACCGAACACGAACTTAGGCCACAACTCGATCATCCTCATGATCGAAGCGCAGAGTCGCTACCTCGCCGCCTTGATCGACCCCATCATCCGCGCAAAAGAGGCCGGGCAGTCACTGGCCATTCAGCCCAAAACCGAGGTCGTCCGCGCCTTCAATGTCGACATCCAAAAGCGCCTGGCGAATAGCACCTTCGCTGACCCGGCGTGCAACAGCTGGTACAAGACGTCTGAGGGCCGGATCACGAACAACTGGCCCGGCACGGTGGTCGAGTACCAGCAGGGTCTGGCGCAGGTGCGATGGTCAGATTATGACATTGAGGGCGACGATGACAGAAGATTTGTTGGCAAGGAAGAAACGAGGATTGGGCATGTAGAAGAGGTGTGGCCAGTGAGCAAGTCGACGCTGCTGCTGGGGCTGAGTGTGGCCGTTGCGGCTGGAGGGTGGTATCTGCAGGGGGCGAGGGGAAGGCCGCGGAGGCGCTGAGCACGAAGTTTTAGTCGATTGGTGCCTAGGTGTGTAGAGTAATTATTGGTCGGGGCCTCGTATAGTCAGGAGTCGGGAGTCGATAATTCAGGAGTCGCGTGGTTGTGCTACCGTGCAGGTGAGACATGTGGAGTGGGCTCGAAGAGTTTTCAGGCTTCCAGATTCCAAATCATCTTGCGAGTAGAGTTCGACTGGTGTTTGATATTGAAGTGGTAAAGTGTTTGAAGCTTGACTCCAAGTCCAAGCAACCTCGGCAACCAGAGATAGAGGGTTCGTTGAACGTTCGCTTAAATCTCCGCAGCTGGAAACGTGTCCCTCATGCTGTGCGCTGCCTTGGCAAAGTCTTGTGCTGCGCGGTGGAGCAATCCGTGACTAACACACGTGTGACTTCATGGGCGACTTTGTTCCCCGGTTGGACCGGCCATGGTTGGCGCTGTCAAAACATGGGACAGGGCCTGACATCAGAGCTGACGACGTTGTTACCCCGGACTGTCTATAGCAATACAGAGTGGTTGACGGTACAGCAAGGCAGTTGGAAAGGAGTGAAGAGATTGCAGAGGGGATCGAGCTCGAAACAGCCGCAGCGTGCGAGAGCCAATCACAGGCCCTGACAAAGGGTCCGCCATCGAGGCTGAGAGCAGCGCAGGCACGTGATTGGTGGAAGTGGACGAGTCCCCGCCGGGGTCTCAATCGGGCGAGTCCGACATTGCTGGAAGGAGAAGGTGGTCACGTTGAGAAGTCTCTTCGACGTCAAGATTATTGTATCATGGGGAAGTCAATTGACAAGGTAAAGGGCATGGATGGCACCGCAGTTCCACATGGACTGCAGACAATTACACCGACTGCACCTCCCACGTTGTACTGTACAATCCTTGTGCACTTGCACTGAGCTATAAATGGCGACGGGTCCAGGGTCCAATTTAAGGTAAATCCCTCTGAAACACCCAAACAGGCTTCTTTGCCGTTGGCACTAGCAATTGCGCCTTCATGTGGAGTCCACTCGAGGCTTTGACCTCACTCTCGTCTTTCACTCCCAACTTCTTTCACCTTTCACCTTTCACCTGCATGTAATCTTCACCCTCCTCTTCTCTACACCCCTGTCTATTTCTTTCTCCATCCTTGTCCTCGAATATGCGCTGAACACAAGAGACCGGGCGACGACAAGATGAGAACCGTACACCAGCTCAAGCTCTATCGCAACTGTCTCTCCGTGTGGAACCGTCTGCGGTCGTCGCCTGCTGTCTTCTTCGATGTCTTCTGGGACTGGACTCGCCGTTTTTTCTTCACCCTGAGTTTCCTCGCTCTGTTCTCTGCGAAACTGCTGCATCTCTACGCTCACCTGCACTCGCTGCCCGCCTCCAAGTTTCTGACCTGGGCAATCACCTTCTTTACGCAAGATGTCGCGTGCACTTTGCTCATTCGCATTTTCACCCAAAAGTTTCCGTGGCGATGGCTTGACGCTCTCGCTGCGGTGGTCATCATTCCCTTTAGGTATTTGGTTTGCTCTCAGAGGCGTTCCATGGCTAATGTGTTGCTTGTGCTAGTCTGACCATGTCCGGAATGGCCTCGGCCAACATCTCGTTCTTCGTTACCGCCGGCGCGGAAATCAACTGGCGACTGGCGAAATCGTTCCATCGTGATGCGGCTGCTGTTCGGACGTTGTTGACGGGTTTGACGGGATTTCTCATTGTGGAGGCCATCATGACCGTTATTGCGTGGTTTATTGCGCCATTTCTGCATCGCGTCGTTGGAGGAATACTGCATATTCTCGCCGAGCCGTTCAAGAAGGTCTTCAAACCGCTGTTCAACCGCGCCTCTGGCCTCCCGTCACGCATTCGCCACATTCGCCTCCGGAGCGAGCCCCTCCCAGACCCTGAAGTCTACGAGCAGATCGCCGTCGAGGATTACCACGATTACAAGAGTGACGAGGAGGATGAGTTTGAGGATATCCCGCAGCGCCCGCCTCAGCGCATCTCGCTCGCAAAGCGGTTGATTGTTTGGTTACCGTTGATCTTCCTCGCGGTCCTCCGCATCGTGCGCCCACCGTACCCGTCCTATATTTTCCTGTCCGGAGCCCTTCCGATGACGCCGTTTGCTGGAATGCACCGACCGACACTGGGCGAACAGGCGGGAAATATTCCAGACTATGCTTGGCTCGAAGGTAAGACCGCGCTCGGCAAGCCTCCGGTCTGGGACTGGATGCCGGAAGAGACGCTTCCTGGGTTCGACGACTGGCATAAACACCACGAGCATTACACTCCATCGCTGGATCCGCTACATTTGTCGAATCTGCAGGCACCGGTATTGGACGAACTGAAGGACGTACTGGCCAGTGGAGATGTGAACATCAAGCATGTCATTATGCTGAAGTTGGAAAGTACCCGAGGGGACGTCTTTCCGCTCCGCAATGGGTCGTTTATGTGGAATAAGATTGTGGACTCATTTGGCGACGACGAAATGCCCGAGAGCGCTGTGCGAACTGTCGCAAACCTCACCCGAACCGCCGAATACTTGACCGGCTTCGATTCCGGCTTCGACCAGTACCGCGACGGCGAGCGCAAATCCTACGGTGGACTTAGCGCTAGAAACGGCTTTACAACCGGCACGTACACTATCAAATCCGTCGCCGGAACGATGTGCGGGATCTCGCCACTCGTAGCAGAGCTGAACAAGGAGTACAAACATCACCTCTATAACCCGTGCATGCCGCACGTCGTCAACGCGCTCAGCCACCAGGCGGACATCACCAACGGCTCGGACTACCGCACCTGGCCGTGGGAGTCGATCTGGATGCAGTCGGTCACCGACACTTATGATTTTCAGTTCGAATTGACTCCTCGCATGGGCTTTGGGGACATCTACACCAAAGAGCGCATCGAGAAGCCAGACGCAAAGCACGCCCCACTCAAATACAAGGAAGTCAACTACTACGGCTACCCAGATGTCGAGCTGAAAGAATACATCCGCGATGCGTTTGACGCAGCCGAAGCAAACAACACTCGCCTCTTCCTCGCCCATCTCACCGGGACGACGCACCACCCGTGGGGCATGCCGGACGACAAATACGAAAACATCATGGGCCCGTCCTTCAAGGGGAAGAACAACGACATGAACAAGTATCTCAACACGATCGGGTTTGCCGACCGGTGGCTCGCCCAGATCATCGAAATCCTAGAAGAGAAAGGCGTGCGCAACGAAACACTCCTCGTCATGGCCGGCGACCACGGCCTCTCCCTCCCCAACGACGGCGGCATCACCCCCTACCACAACCCGCACATCGGCTCCTTCCACGTCCCAATTGTCCTTGCCCACCCGAACTTACCTTCCATCGAAATCAAAGACCCCGTTATCTCCCTGCAACTCGTACCCACGATCATCGACCTCCTCATCGAATCCTCCTCTCTCGGTCCACAATCCACCCAAGCGGCGCGAGACATCCGTGGCCTGTACGAAGGCCAATCTCTCATCCGGCCTCTCTTCCAAGAAGCAAACGGCATGCAGGACTGGCAATTCAGCGTCATGAACCCCGGCGGCTCATGGCTTGCCGTGCGATCTGCCGCGCGACCACAATGGCGCATCGCGATCCCGCTTATCGACGACCTCGAGTGGCGCTTCACCGACATTGAAAAAGACCCGCAGGAGGAGCACCCGTTGACGAGCTTCAGCTTCTTCGACCTGATGGATGCACTCTGGCACGAGTACAAGGACGAGGACGTCGCTGGAAGCAACAGTACCCAAAAGTCAATTCGCGATGACCGCGGCTTCTTCGACCATCCTCATCATCCTCACCACCCTCCCCCTCCAGGTGGCGGTCCGCCTCCGCCTCCGATCACAATCACGCCGTCTCGTCCGCACCCGGAGGATGCTCCGTGGGAACCGGAGGTCGTGCGTTGGGCACGCGATGCCGCTCATATGACGGAGTGGTGGATTGCGGACAACCATCGGCGGTATGGGTACAAGAAGCCGTGAGGTGGGCAGGCGACACTAATAAGCCTCGCTCGTTTCGTATAGAGATACGGGCATACCCACCACCTTCGCCTTGGCATCAGCCTCGGCTCTGTCTAGGGGTCACGCCAAATGGAGCTCCTCCACCGAGTCTTGAGAGTTGGCTCGGTTCCATCATCCCGCCGAGACTGACGATAGACGGTGCTGAGCTGAGCATGACACCCACTGACAAAAGCATCCCGTGTAAAGTACGAATTACATTTACGACATTCTTCATGTATTTCTCTTCCCGACATCTAGCATCGGCACGGATCTCTGTACATCTGAGTTTTGGGCATGGGCTGCAGGCGTCGTTTTCTTGTACATACACTCCATCCTTCCATATTTTTCATTCATCATTCCCAAACAAGCATTCCACATTTCCAAGCAAAGAATCGTATCCGTAATCGAATGTCCATAATTCGCTCCTCCCTCTGGCAGTTAATCTACCTGAAGTGATCGTCGCCCGCCTCGGGGCACGGCCCATCTGCACCGTTTCGCATAGACATGCCAGACCCAACTTAATCTCAACCCAAAACAAGCCTGCCCTGACCCTGGCAGGATAAGCAGGCTTCTAGAATCGCATTCGCCGCGGGACTGGGCCTATTCCGCGACGGTCGTCTACTTGAGACAGGCACGGTCAACGTGCGACACCGCGCGGGCTTGGCGTCTGAGCGAGGAGGGTCTGCCATCCTCGCCTTGCTTTCGTTCATGTTGTTAATATCTGACGGGATTGTTTCCCTGTCGGCATCAGGCTGTGCGATGCTTAATTGAGGGCGTTTCATTTGCTGTGGGTTTGGCCCAGCTGTCTAGGCTATATATTCCCTCACCCCCAGCATTCCAAACAGTTCTGCAATTGCCTGCCCAACTTGCAGTTCGCTTCTCGGCTCGTCCTGGTGACGACCTCCCCTCCTTTTCTTTCTTTACAGTCATTCATTCATTCCAATGTATTCATTCCTTCGCTCCTTCGCTGCCCTGGTGGCAGCCAGTTCCGCCCTGCAGCCCGTCCTCGCCCAGTCCGGCGATCCGACCGTCTACACCGACGCCGACACGGGCATCGTCTTCGACACCTGGTCTGTCGACGCCAGCTCCTCCTCCGCCGGATTCACCTTCGGCGTCGCCCTCCCCGAGGATGCCCTCGATACCGACGCCACCGAGTTCATCGGGTACCTGTCCTGCAGCTCGTCGGCCACAACGCAGTTCACCGGCTGGTGCGGCCTGTCCATGGGCTCGTCGATGAACAGTAACCTGCTGCTGGTGGCGTATGCGCAGGACGACACCGTGCTGACGTCTTTCCGGTTCTCGTCTGGATATGCCATGCCCTCTGTTTATTCCGGTAATGCAACACTGACCCAGATCTCGTCGACGGTGTCGAATGATAAGTTCGAGGTTATCTTCCGCTGCCAGGAGTGTCTGCGCTGGGACCACGAGGGTGTTTCTGGCTCTGCGACTACGAGCGCCGGCCAGCTTATCCTTGCCTGGGCGCAGGGCGAGGAGTCGCCCACCAACGCTGACTGTCCTGATGACTTTTCGCTTGTCCAGCACGAGGCTCAGGGGATCTGGGTTGGCCAGCTGAATGCTAAGGCTGCTACTTCGAACTACGAGACTTGGGCTGCGCTTGCGACGAACGTTGTCGATGGTACCTGTGGCTCCTCTGGTAGTGGCAGTGGCAACAGCACAACCCCCGGCAACGGCACCGACACCGATACCACGATTGGCGTTCCTGTCCCTGCGAATGTTACATACGACTACATCATCGTCGGCTCCGGACCCGCAGGAATGGTCCTCGCCGACCGGCTCAGCGCGACCGGCGCAAAGACGCTCCTTATCGAGAAGGGACCGCCCTCCATCGGCCTGTGGAACGGCACCATGAAGCCCGACTGGCTGAACGGGACTGACCTGACGAGATTCGACGTCCCTGGCCTCTGCAACGAGATCTGGAAGAACAGCGATGGCATCGCCTGTCCCGACAACGACCAGATGGCAGGCTGTCTCGTTGGTGGCGGAACGGCCGTGAACTCGGGTCTCTGGTGGAAGCCGTACAGCCGGGACTTCGACGAGTCGTTCCCCGAGACATGGAAGTACGACGACGTCAAGGATTCTGTCTCCAAAGTCTTCACTCGTATTCCGGGAACCATTACCCCCTCCACCGACAACCGGCTGTACCTCGCCGAGGGTCCCAGCGTTATCATGAACGGTCTTCTCGCCTCTGGCTGGAAGGGCACCACCTTCAACGATGAGCCCGAGGCCAAGTACAAGACCGTCGGGTACAGCCCGTACATGTTCAGCCATGGCCAGCGCAACGGGCCGATGGCGACGTACCTGCTCGATGCGTATAACCGACCCAACTTCGACTTCTGGGTGAACACCGTCGTGAAGCGCGTTGTGCGTGAGGGATCCACTGTAACTGGCGTTGAACTCGAGCCGTTCAACGATGGCGGTTACGAGGGAAGTCTGCAGCTGGCTGAGGGAGGCCGTGTGATTCTGAGCGCCGGCGCGTTTGGCACGCCGAAGATTCTGTTCCGCAGTAAGTCCCGTTTCCTGGAGGTTGAGATAGAGTACTGATGTGTGCAGGTGGAATCGGCCCCGAGGAGCAGCTCGCCATCGTCAACGCCTCCTCGTCCGACGGACAGGACTTCATTTCCGAAGACCAGTGGATCAACCTGCCTGTTGGCGAGAACCTGATGGATCACCCTAACGTGAGCATCCTCCCACATTGCGCTCAATAACCATTACCACCAAGACATGCTAACTATATGTTCGTAGACCGAAATCGTCGTCCAACACCCCGACATCGTCTTCTACGACTTCTACGGCGCCTACAAGGACCCCATCGCCGCCGACGCGCAGAGCTACCTGGGTCCGTCCATCCCCTTCCCTTCCCACCCATCCCATCCACCAACCCTAGATTTCCGCATACTAACAATATTTGTTGTGTGTAGTAAACCGCACCGGCCCCCTCGCGCAATCCGCCCCCAACGTAAACCCCGTCTTCTTCGACATGGTAACCGGCTCCGACAACATCACGCGCCAACTGCAATACCAAGCGCGCGTCGAAGGCGCCCACAACATCGCGGACGGGCACACGATCTCCATCAGCCAGTACGTCGGGCGCGGCCAGACCTCCCGCGGGAAACTGAGCATCACGTCTGCGCTGAATACCGTTGTCAGCACACTCCCCTGGCTGCAGGACGAGCACGACCAGGACGCTGTGATCGCGGGCTTCGAGAGGCTGCGCCAGTCCTTAAACACGATCCAGGGACTCACGTGGGCGTATCCCACCGCTAATGTGAGCATGTCCGAGCATGTGAAGGGGATTGCGAAGACCGGGCGCGGGAGTAACCACTGGATGGGATCGTGCAAGATGGGATCCGATGATGGGCGCGATGGTGGCGATGCTGTTGTCGATCTGGATACGAAGGTCTATGGCATGGACAACTTGTTTGTGGTCGATGCGAGTATCTTCCCCGGCATGATTAGTACGAATCCGTCGGCTTATATTACGGTTGTTGCGGAGAGGGCGGCGGAGAGGATCCTTGCGTTGCAGGGGTAGATACCTATGCCAGTTCAGGGGTTTGGGGGGGATGGTTGTTTACGTGGTTGGGATGGTGTGTTATAGACTTCTATTCTTGTTATATCATCAATTCATTTATTCTTCCTTTGATTTCCTGAAATTCAATTCCCTACCCTGTAGGGGTGTCCTCCCTACTATTTAAACTCAGTCTTTCTCTTTTTCGCCCTTCACCACAGTATACTCAAAGAGTGCAGGTCCCAGAAAGCATGTACCTAGAAGATCCATATATAGCCGATCGCTCCCAACACAAAAAGCAAGGTACGTGATGTTTGTCATATGCAGGAAGTATACGTAGAGTATGAATCTCGCTATCTAGTCGCTTCCTCGTAGCTGCTCTGATCTTGGATGCGACGCATCCTTCTACTCCTCTCAAACCATAGGCGAATCACATACCTAAATAAATCACAAATCCTCCGCACTCCCACTCAAGGTCTCCTCCTCATCCTCCCCAAGCCAAACCCCCACAAACCTCACAATCTCGCTCTGCGCCGCCACAATCTCAACAGGCACCTCAACACCCGTCTGGTTGCTACTCACCCCATTCTGATCCCAATGGTGCACGGCCCCGCGTATCCCATCCCACACCCTCTCAGCAGGCACATCAATCAGCATAAACGGCTCTGCATCGGTTGATTTCCGCCCTGGCAGGCCCTCAGCATGCGGCGTTGCGTCGCGCCAGGGGTCCGCTGTGCCGCCGATGATCGCGACGCGGGGGTACGAGAAGTTGAAGCCGCCGTGCTGGTTTATGAGCGTGATATTCGGGGGCGTGCTTATGCCGTAGATTGAGTTGCAGAACGAGGACGTGTAGTTTAGGTCGATGAGTCGGGATATCAGCGGTTTTATGTGTGGGGGCACCGAGGAGCCCGGCATGAAGTACCCCCATTCTGTGCAGACTTGGTAGTTCCAGCTTGTGCCATCGGATTTGGGAAGCCTCTCGTTTCCAGTGGGCTCGTCCTCGTCCTCGTTCTTGTCCTCGTCTTCGTCTTTGGATTCGGTTGAAGACGACGAGGACGGAGGGTTCATGTACCCGATGTAATTCCGCAGCGATGCAAGCAGCGCCGTGTCACTTGCGTTGTACCCCGCGGCCTTCAGCAGCCCCGGCAAGCTGGCCGTGCCATTGGTAACGGGGTACACTGGGTCCGGGGCCGTGATGTTATCGCAGTAGTGTCTGAACTCGTAGCTCCCGACCGCCGGATCCCAGTTCCTGGATTGGAAGGTCCCCAGCGGAGTGGAGAGGCCGTTGACGAAGTCCTTGTTATCGGTGTCTGACTCAACACCGAACGCGCTCTTCAGCTGGCTGTGCAATGTTTTGTTCTCCGGGTGGTCTATTAGAATTCTATCAATGATATCGGTAAGTGTTTGAATAGCCTCTATACACTCCACCGGCCCATAATTCCGAATCGGCTCATAGTACTTCCAGTAGTCGACAATCGCAGCCGTGACGCCAGAACTCGATACGGCGCCGTGGAAGATATCGGGGTACAGCTTGCGCATGAACGCAACCTGCGCACCGGCATACGACCCCCCATACGCAATCCACGGCGTATTGGGGGCTGTAAGATCAAACTCTTCCAGTCCCGGGAAGACAACGTTCTGAGCGAAATACGCGTAGTCCGCTAGACTCTGCTCCGTGCTGAGGAAGCGCAGATCCTCAACGCTCACGTCATCGCCGGGGAACGGGTAACTCTCGCCGTAGTAGCGGTGCTCGAGGATCACGCCGAGACCGTGGTATGTCGCTGCGAGCTGGGTTACGATTCCATTTGACAGGAACTCGAAGCGGTCCTCGCCGTTTGTTTCGCCGGCGGCGATGACGAACACGGGCCCGCCGGGTTCGTAGTGGTCGGCGTCGAACCAGTAGCGCAGGTTGAATGTGTGGTTTGTGTGTGGTGCGTAGCGGGTTTCGTTGTGGAAGTGGTCGATGGGGGTTGAGAAGTTGTGGGCTTTGTATGTGGCTGCCAAGGTGGTTCCCGTAAGGAGAGAGAGGGAGAGTAGAGGGACACGCATGGTCGAAATGAGACCTCGGGGTAAGGTTGGAGAAGATGCAGTAAATGAGGGGGACGGGGCTTATATAGCTTGGCTTGCATTGGTTGAGGATCGGCGGTGCTTGTGTTACATCGCTTGCGACTATCGTTTGTTGATAAGAGATAAGGAAGATAAACAAGTTAGGGCTGAAGCTGCGTATAAGCCTACCTACGATGGGTACTACAATAGACAGACAATCTTGCTTAAGCAACGATCCAAAGGATCTTTTTCTTTATTTTCATTTTCCAGTAATAACAACTAAAACATTATAACCAAACAAAACTTGTGATCACAATAGAAAGAAAAACATCACTTACATATCCACAAACAGCATCTGCACATTATGCCAAACCCTCACAACCCTCCCCTCGCCCACCCACAACCCCCCCATATTCGCCCACCATCCCCGCGTAACCGCCCCCACCTCCGGAATCCCCTGCATTACAATGCGCCTCGACTCGGCCATCAAGCTCCTCACATCCTCCTCACCCATCCGCTCAAACCGCCAGCTCTCCGCCGGCCGCTCGGGCACAACCTGCACGACAACCGGCAGGGGCAGGTGGCCCACCACGCGGCCGGTCGCACCGTACACGGCGCCCTGGCCCGTCAGTGAGATGCCCACGGCCTGGGCGCCGAATGGGGGGAGCGGAGGGTCGGGGAAGATGAGGGGCGGGTTCAGGCCGAGCTGCGCGCCTGTTACGGGGTCTAAGCCGTAGGGGTGCTGGCGCTCGAGGTCGAAGTCTGGGGCTGCAAGCGGCTGTTCCTGCGCTAGGGCTGCGAAGTCCGGGGATGCGGGGTACCCGTCTTCCTGGCTGGGGGCTGTGATGGGGGCCTCGTTAGGGCTGGGAGGCGGGCTCGTGGGGGATTCCACGTCCTCTGCGTGGACTGTTGTTGGGATGAACCGGCGCGGGCCGGGGCTGATGGCTCGCTGCCTGTCCTGGCGGGCTTTTATCTCGTCGATATCGTACTTGAGACCCATTTTGGCAACTTGGTGAGTGGGAACTGTTAGTTTGGTTTTGGTAAGTAGATAGGGTGTCTGTCTTTAGCTGTAGTGGTACTGTGTATACCGTTGAGGAAAGGCAGGCTGATGGTTTTCGAATTGATCGGATGGCATGGCTGTACTTATACCTCTCGAGATGCATGGTGAGTAGGGTATGCAACTTTGCAATTGCTTTGTTAGGTTCTTTGTCTTTTTGTGTTTGTAGCGATGTAGTTGTTCTTGTTCTGTCCATCTGCAACAACCCTTTGTCTACTAAGGCTGTGTCTCTTTTGTTGTCTTCTTGTATGCCCTAAACACAATGCAGGAGCGATACGTCTGCGGCATTGTTTCTTTGGAGTAAAGTTTGAAAGAATGAGTATTATGCAGACAATTCACATGCGTGAGATGCCCTCCTTCCTTGTTAACAGTCTCAAACAAAGAACAGGACTTCCCAACGTCAAGGCGGTTATTCTTGGAACACCCATGGTGGCATTTGGAGTCAGAGTAAGATAGGTACCATAGGCCATAGGCCCGATCACTGATCAGCCATCTATTGTCTAATGTTGTATTTTATCTAATGCAATACCAGAAGCCGTTTGTAAATGGGCAGTGTAGATCTGCAGCAGACAACGCTCTTTGTCACTGAACTATCATTATGGTCTTTTGCCCTTTATTTCAAGTTGATGGCGCTCAAGCCCTTTATCGAGATCATGTTGCGGAACAATGAAATCCAGCCTTATAGAAAAACGCTCTTATCCAATGGCCATTCGACGAAAGAAAGAGACAAAACAAGAACTATTCAAAGAGATGCCTGATATCAAAGACTCAAAGACCATAAAATAGTCTTGTTCCCACCAACCGTCCAGCTACCGAATTGATAGCATTCCATCCAACAACTATACCTTCTTCCTGTCAGCAGACACCACATAGACACCCTCAACGAGATCAAATCAGAATAAAAAATGTCCGCCACCAACCACCGCCCCTTCGACGGCCTCGTGAGCCCCCTGCCACCCACTCCCTCCACAGGCTCCCGCCCCATGTCCATCAGCCCAAGCCCTAGTCCCCATCCCCGTGCCAACCAACCCCTGCACATCCCCCCATCAGGAAACCCCACAGCCCAACCCGGCCTCGCAATTTCAGAGATCGGCCAAATGTCTTTCGCAACAGGAACCCTCCTCGGCGTCCTCACAATCCCCAGCCTAACCCTCATCGAGCCAACGCCCTCCCACCCCGCCTCAACATTCCACCCCGTGCGCATGACGGACCTGGAAACAGGCGCGTTCGGGCACGCGGCAAGCGTTGTCCCGCCTGTGCCCGGTGGCATCGGGATCGGCGTGTGGTGGAGTGATATGGCGGGCGGGGATCTGCTTTGGGGCGTTGGACGCGTTGTTAGCGTGCAGCGGATGCAGGTGCCTATTGTGCTTGCGGCTCCGGTTGTTGAGGAGGGAGAGAGGATGTATCGGATGCCGTTGACGGAGGAGGAGGTCGAGGAGGAGTATGAGCTTGGGGATGGGGGGTGTCAGGTTGAGATTCTGTATGCGCGGGATGAGGGGGATGGGACGAGGGGGGCGCTTGGGTTTCGGTGATTTTTGAATATTATGATAGAACTGTCGCTGGGTTATTGGATTATATTGTTGAATAAAAGTCATTTCTTCTTGTTGATTGATTGGTTCAGTTTAGCGTTTCTATGCGCTAGGTATATCCAAATTGCCAGTGAGCCTAATGGCCCTCTGAACAGGTAAGCCGTATGGCATGAGATAGGTATGCTCTGCCTGTATGCCGTTGTGACGATTGTAGTTTCGGATTGTCCAACAACGCTTCTATTTAAGGCGCATGATCTATGCCAAAAGTGAGTTCCGCTCTTGATTTGTGATTCTGCCTTGCCGTACTATGAACTAACGCCCAAGACCAGGAAGTTCTTCGCTTCAGCGGGTCTGAAAGTCTTCGATCCAGGTGCATTGTAATGAACCATCTTGTGTGGATGTCTCAAACAGCCCAAGTATTGACTGTTCGTGACTGTACCTTTCTTTGATATTTCAGTGGAACTAAAAAATATGTGCAAAGGTCAGCTGTGTGGGCAGGAAATTCAGGGTTATCAGATGGCTCAGGATATTAAGCATAAGTGGAGAGGAGATATGCAGAAGATGATCAGATGGAAGTGGCAGATGCAAATGGCAGTTAGTTGATGATGAAAATCTAGACCAGCTGTTTCTTCGGTCATTACACCAGTTTGTTGTATGCTATCGAATACTCGGTTATGATAATGGCAAAGTGAAGCTTCTTGTAAACCTAGATTTGTTGTCTCTCTTACTAAAGTGTAGGCTCTTTAGGCATTCTTTGAAGATCTTCGCAGAGAACGAGGATTGGAGGGTTATGGAACTTTCATTTAGAAGGTTGAGTTGATTGACTGCTGCGATGATTCCATAATGCAAGCAATTTCCCACTTTCTTTGTCTCTAGACAAAGGCCCTATGAGTACAATGAGCTTTCATATGCCTTTCAACAACGTGATGGGATATAAGAAGCCCTTAACCCTTGCTCATGCAGCAAGCATCAGTTATCAACTCGCTCGCCATCTATCCTACAGGTCCATCGAGCCTAACCAATTCCACCTAACCAACAGGCACGATATCCTACTTGAACCTGTCTACCGCCAAAATGGCAGACTACCAGAACATCGAAGACAACGACGCAACCTACCAAGCCTGGCTGGACGCTTCCACGACCATCCCGCTGTTGGCTGGTTCGGGAATATAGTTACGCCAGGTTGGATCTAGTATATTAACTCTGGTTATATAAAGCGCTTTATAATACATACTTTATTAAAGCAAAATAAAAATATATATTAATTTTTAAGTTATATTAATAAAGTAAATATATAGTGTAAAGTGGTTATATTATATTTATAATAAATATATATAATTATTACTATAAATTACTAAATAAATATAATTTAATAATAATAAATATAGGTTTGCTAGGTTATATATTTATAAATAAAGTTTATATTTAAGTTAATTTATTACTGCCTGTTAAACTTATTACTAAAATTATTTATATTACTAAGGTTATAATATATTTTAAAAATTATGTTATAAATATTGTGGATATAAATTACAAGTAATTTTATATATTACGCATAATATAAATTAATATTAATATAATATAATTACTACTAGTAATATATAATTACCTAAAGTTTATATATTATAAAGGTAGCGCTTAATAAATTAGTTTAATAGGTTTAATTTAGCACTATTTATTATTTAGGCTAATTATATAGGCTATAGGATATTACTACGGGATTAAAATAAGTATAAATATAGGTAAAAATGCTAATTTAATACTAATATTAACACTAATATTTAATATTAATAAAAATTTAAAATATTAAGGGCCCGTGCGCTGCCGTTCAAGTTAATCTTAGCTTATTAAATTAATACTAAGTTAGGAGCTACTAATATAATTACTAAAAAAACCCCGTGTTACTAATAAAGACTTATTAAAATTACTATGCTATGGATAGTTAGTTAAAATTACTATTTATTATTATATATTATATATTAAGTTTAAAGCACCATAAAACACTATTTTTAAATATAAGCTTGTATTTAAAAAAGGCATTTTATATAATATTAATAAAAGGTAAGTTAATATATTATTAAATTACCACTATATTGCCTTATACTAAGTTTACATGTTTTTAAATAATATATAAGGGATTTATAAAAGTAATAATAAATTTATAAATACATAAGTAACTAAGCCTTGATAAAATTAACTTTTTATATAATTTAGGTATATTTTTAGTACCTTGGGATATTCTTACATGTTTTATAAAATATTTTTTTTTAATTATAGTATATGTTTAAAGGCCAGCAAAAATTAATAAAATTATAATAAGTAAGATAGTTAAAATTATAAAAATATTAATTAGCGCGGTAAAACTATTTATTATTTATATAAACTTACCTTATAAAATAGTTTTATAATTTTAATAAGTTAATATTATAAAAGGTTAGTTAGCGCGGTAAAACCATTTGCTATTTATATAAACTTATTTTATAAAGTAGTTTTATAACCTTAATAAGTAAAAATAAGTTTATTTATAGTAATTTATTTTATAGGGATAGTAAGTGCCGTGACCTGGTGTTTAGTTTAAAAAATAAAATAAAAATAACCTATTAAATATTAAGATAGTATTAAGTATATATATTTAAATAAAAAAATAAGTTAGTAATACCTTTTATAAGTAATAAGTATATAAAAGCTTACTAAAATAAATTATATTATATAGTTAACTTATTATTTTAATTAAGAGCATAATTAGTAGTAAAAACCACTAGTAAAAGTAGGCATAGCATACCTGGACCTAATATACTAAAATTAAATTATAAAATACCCGGAGACCTACTATATTAGCATAGGTAAGTTAGTAACTACTGCTTAAGTTTATAAACTAGTAAAGCGCACCGCTATTTACTATACCTAAGTTAAACTTTTATTATTATTTATTTTTTATATTATTATTTATATTATTATTTATATTATTATTTGTATTATTATCTACTAGGCAGTATTTTTAGTATTATTTATATTATTTTTAATATTACCTTTAGCATTATTAACACCTGGGTAATATTAGTATTATTCTTAGTATTATTTTATTTACTAGCTAGTATTTTCTAGGTTAGTATTATTTATATTACCCTTGGTATTATTATTAATATTATTTTTAGTAATATTTATTTACTATTTACACCCTACTTAGCATTTTTAAATTATTATAAAGTAACTATTAAGTATTAAGTTTTCCAGGGCTATTACCTTAATTTTTTATTATAATTTATTTTATTTATTTTTTATTTTATTATTACTATATTATAAAATTAAAAAATAACCTTGGGTTATTTAGCTTGTTTTTTAGTATTATAAAAAAATTAAAAACATGTTTAGGGGTGTTTATTTATATTCTTGCTTAAATTAAACCGCATAATATTTATATAAATAAAGTAGTATTATAAAAGGTAAAAACTTGGGTTTTTATAATAAAAGTTTATTAGCTTGCTTATTTTTTTAATAATTTATTTATTACCTGGATAAAGTTAACTTAGCTTTTAATTTTTAAATAGGTTAAAATATTTATTGCTATTATAGGGATTTTAAAAATAATTAGCTATTATTAAATACTAAAATGCAAGCTGGGTTTAAACTAGGTGCTTTTAAAGGTAAGTAAATAAAAAATCTAAAATCCTAGTTAAAAATACTATAAAAATTAATGCTATAATAGAAAATTAAGGCCTAAATAAAGCCTGGTAAAAAAAAAATATACCTAGTAGTACTTAGTAACACATGTTAATACTTACTTAAAAGTTTTAATTATTAAAATATATCCAGTAATAATACACTGGGGCGTTTTTAGGTATTAAAAAAAATAATTATAAATAATTATAAATAAACTTAGGTATAACTAAGAATTTTTTTAAAATTATTTTTAAAGTTAATAGGTGTAATTAGGCCATAAGTAAGACAAGTATAAATAAAAAAAAATAACCTTAGTTACCGTAAAAAAAAATATATAATTTATATTAGCTTTAGGATTAGCAAGGCCTTTTTTAAAGGTATAAAATTTTATATAGGCTAGCTACCTAATTTTATATACCTTTAAAATTTAAAAAAAAAAGTAAGGGGGTACTCTTACTTTTTGCCTTGCTAGCTAAATTTTATATATTTTACTATACTTAAGTTTATAAATTTAATTAAGCTTTTTCTCGCGGGGCTTAAACTTAAAAAAATTAGTATAATAAGTTTAATTTTTATAATATATAAGGGTAAAGTTTAATAAACTACCTAAGCTATCTTAGCTAGTATAAATAAAATTATAATCCTTATATATATTTATTTTATAGTATCTTATTTTATTAAATTAAGTTTAATTTATTTATATTTAATTATATTAATAATTACTATATTTATATTTGTGTTTTTTTAAGTTACCTTTATATTTTTAGCTAAAAAAACTTTATATTTTAATTATAGTATATTATTATAATATTAGTAATACTAGCTATAAGTAATAAGCTATTTAAGGTGGATTAAAGTAGCGCTGCTAGTAATATATTTAAAATTAAAACTAAATAGTAAAATGCTATTTTAATAAACTAAAGGCTAATTATAATTTTTTTTTTAGTTTTTTATATATAAAATAAATTTAAAATAATATCACGCGGGATATATTAATATAAAATTACTAGTATAAAAAGCGCAAATACTTGCTATTTTTTATTTATAAGTTAATAAATAAAAAATAATTTAATTTATTTTATAAAAGCTTTTTAATATATAATAATACTACCTTATTAAAATATATATTACCTGCCCCTAAAAGTATTAAAAATAAATTAATAAAGGTACTTAAAATAAATAGTATTGCGTAAGAGCAAAAGTCCACAGCTAAAAATAATATTAAAAGGTAAAAGTAAAATAAAAAAAAAAAAGTAAAATAAAGCTAATTACTATTTATTATATACTTATAGTAACCCGCCTGTACTATTAGGTATTATTTAATATTTTTATAAAGGGTGGGA